AACTTTTTCGTGAATAAAAGATAAATACTTCAAAATAATCATCAGAGATTCCTCTGTCTAAAAATGGAATGTTCCACTGAAAAGTGTTAGGTAATAAACGGAATGTGAAAATAGGTGCTTTCACAGCATGGTCAATTGATTCTTAGCCTGCTCAGTGTTCGCTGCTTCGCGTCTCCTCAACTTCACTGTCATCAGTGTTTCTTTTGTCCATTTGCCGATTATGGTATCATAGTGACACATACATGTAGCTGTACACACTATTCCACCTTTCTTACAGGAATATCTGACACAGGATGAATTGTAACAGCTGACACTCAATAGAACACTAAAGTACTGTCGGAAATGCTAGACAAATGCTTTTCTGGTTTCATTTAATAAATATAGGGCTATGAAAATAGCATATATCAAAGTAACGCAAATTGACCTAATCTAGCCTATCCTAACTGACACTGTGATACCCTTAAAACGAACTTTTACAGGTAAAATGATGATAAACTTAGAAAATATTCGTATGTTGTCATGAATGTATGAAACGGCCTATAACCTGAGGTAATTACCTTACACCTGTCCCGAGGTGATGACCTCACACCGGCCCGTGCATTCTCCCAGGTGCAAATGTTACCCGAGTTGGGGGTGGTCTCAAAATATTGCTGTTATTGTACTTAATTGACAGTCATATAGCTGGAATATTGCTGATTGCGGCGTAAAACAACCAACCAACCAACCAACTTAATTGACATGTGCGTTGATGGGGTAGCAATTTAGGATATGTACTGGATTATATCTGCTTGGATAAATAAATGATGGAATAGTTAAAAGCTATGAAACTGGATGTGTACTGGAATGTTGCGGTTTTGGAATCAAAAAGTAATTGTTTTTCTATATATGATATCTTGAGGTAGCATCTATCTTCGCTGATGACGTGTATGATTCTGTACTATCACCCAAATGTATGATAACTGGTTCAACAAGGCTGATAGCTAGCAAAGACTGCGTTGATCCTCCCTTTGACATGTGTGAGTTTGAATGTTGTGTAATGTCTTGCCACGAACCCTGTACAATTAGCCAAGATATGCTTAACAGGGTTGAGCTCACAATGTCTGACTGGCGTACGTAAGACAACGTGACCGTGTTGTGCCGCCAACACATATGTTTTGTACTTTACTGGTTTCTTATTCAGCCGAATTTTCTCCATAAACTTTCGTTTCAGATGGTCTGAAGTCGACAATGTTCCTTCATGGTCGCCTTCAGACTACTCATGGTTGGCGCGACTGTATCTTGTTCCCGGACATTGTATTAACTGGCGTCCATCCACTTCAATGACCGTTTCGAATCTGCTACAAACCATCACGTTTTCAGGTTTAGGAATTACAGGTTAAAACAAGAAAATGTCCCAGCCCACAGCTAACCCTCTACCACTTCTACTCATTTAATTTAATCTTTTAAAATAGTTTTCTTGTCTTAAAATCTTAAACATATTTACTGTTCCAACTCCATAATGCTCCCCAAAGAAAAAACCACATATACCTAATTGATCACATGAAAACTGTCACTTAATATACTGTAGGATAGAGATCAGAAACGTACGGAAGTTATTCTTCACTTTCGGCTTATCGGCATTGCGGTAGTAACTATTGTACATTACCATATACCACATGCTTGGCGCGCCTGGACGAAATCTTTATCACGGCATTCAAAACGCACAAACAAGGAATCGTACAATGTTATCTGCCTGCATTTTATTTTATACAGTTTTGCTTACCCATCCGCATCTTTGGGTCATTTAGTGAAGATTTTCTTTCTCGAGAGCCTTTTGTACACAACGTAATGATATGATATACTGATATTTATTCTAAATTTATCAGAGCTAACTGATGTTGCTAAATGTTACGTGAGCATGAACAGGCAACATCATACGTCGTTTTCTACACGGTGGGCCCGTGGTCTCAAGTGTCGCATTTCGTTGTGAGTTGCGTCCTTTCGGCATGCTAGGAATATATGGTCGTGGGTTCAAATCCCATATTCTCCCTGATTACGTTTCTAGGTTTGTCCCCACATGGGTACAACGTGTGAAGCCCATTTCTGGTGTCCCACGCCGTGATATTGCTGGGATTTTGCTGGAATATTGCTGGAATATTGTTGGAATATTGTTGGGATATCGATGGGATATTGATGGGATATTGATGGAATATAACTTGGATATTGCTGGGATATTATTGGAAAGTTCTTGAAATATTGCTTGGATATTACTGGTATATTGCTGGCATTTTGCTGTGATATTGCTGGGATAGTGTTGGGAAAGTGCTGGGATAGTGTTGGGATATTGTTGGGATAATGCATTGATATTGCGTGGATATTGTATGGACTATGACTGTGATATTGCTGGAATATTGTTGGGATATTTCTGGGTAATGCTTGGCTAGTGCTGGGATATTGCTGGGATATTGCTGGGATAGTGCTGGGATGGTGCTGGGATATTGCTGGCACATTGCTGGAATATTGCTGGCACATTGCTGAAATATTGCTGGGATATTGCTGCGATAGTGCTGGGATAGTGCTGTGATATTGCTGTAAAATTGCTGGAATATTGCTGTGATATTGCTGTGATATTGCTGTGATATTGCCGGAATACTGTTTGGATATTGCGTGGATATTGTTGGGATATTGCTGGGATATTGTTCGAATATTGTGGGAATATTGCTTGGATATTGTTCGGATATTGCTTGGATATTGCTTGGATATTGCTTGGATATTGCTTGGATATTATTGGAATATCGTTGGAATATTGTTGGGATATTGCTGGGATATTGTATGGATATTGCTTGAATATTGTTGGTATATTGCTGTGATATTGAATGGATATTGTATGGATATTGCTGTGATATTGTTTGAATATTGTTGGGATAATGCTGTGATATTGCTGAAATATTGCTGTGATATTGCTGTAAAATTGCTGGAATATTGCTGTGATATTGCTGTGATATTGCCGGAATATTGTTGGGATATTGCTGGGATAGTATTGGGATAGTGTTGAGGTATGGTTGGGATATTGCGTGGAATATTGCTGTGATATTGCGGGAATATTGTTGGGATATTGCTGGGTAGTGCTGGGATATTGCTGGGATAGTGCTGGAATAGTGCTGGGATAGTGCTGGGATGTTGCTGTGATATTGCTGTAATAGTGCTGGGATATTGCTGGGATAGTGCTAAGATATTGCTGTGATAGTGCTGGAATATTGCTGGCATATTGCTGTGATATTGCTGTGATAGTGTTGGGAAAGTGCTGGGATAGTGTTGGGATATTGTTGGGATAATGCATGGATATTGCGTGGACTATTGCTGTGATATTGCTGGAATATTGTTGGGATATTTCTGGGTAATGCTTGGATAGTGCTGGGGTATTGCTGGGATAGTGCTGGGATGGTGCTGGGATATTGCTGGCACATTGCTGGAATATTGCTGGGATACTGCTGTGATAGTGCTGTGATAGTGCTGGAATATTTTTGGGATATTGTTGGGATATTGCGAGGATATTGCGAGGATATTGCGAAGAATATTGCTGAGATATTGCTGGAATATTGTTGGAATATTTCTGGGATATTGTTGGAATATTTCTTGGATATTGCTTGTATATTGCTTGGATATTGTTAGAATATTGCTGGGATACTGCTGGGATATTGTTGGGATATTGTTGGGATATTGATGGGATATTGTTAGAATATTGCTTGGAAACTGCTAGGATGTTGTTGGGATATTGCTTGGATATTGTTGGAATATTGTTGGAATATAGCTGGGATATTGCCGGGATATTATTGGAATATTGCTGGGATATTGTTGGAATATTTTGCTGGGATATTGCTTGAATATTGCTGTGATATTGCTGTGATAATGCTGGGATATTGCTGTGATATTGCTGTGATATTGCTGGGATATTGCTGGGATAGTGTTGGGAAAGTGCTGGGATAGTGTTTAGATATTGCTGGGAAATTGCTGGGATATTGCTAAATGCGGCCTACACCCATACTTATTCCTTCTAGGTTTGTCAGCACCATACCTGTGCTCGCGGATCTCATCAAAGTGGTAACTGACTCAAAATTGCATTTATTCGAGGTTTTATATTTTATGATATAAGTGAAATATTGTTCGAAGCGACAATATGCACGCACACTCATTTATACTTGTTCAGTTGTGTATCATATGATACGTATACACGTGCTAGGGTATATATTAACTCAAGTCATATTCATTTGACGGCGATATGACGTCATTATGTTATGTACATTTGTCCTAGTGTGGACACCAACGCATAACCTTAATGTATTATAAGATCATATTAAGATACGTGTGTATATTACACACGCCTCCGTATATAGAGGACAATCCAATAATCGAAACATTTATTTTTTTACAAATTATTACATACATTGATATGTGTCTTCTATGTATTGTCGGGGCGATCGGGTAGCCTAGTGGTTAAAGCGTTCGCTCGTCACGCCGAAGACCTGGGTTCGATTCCCGACATGGGTACAATGTGTGAAGCCCATTTCTGGTGTCCCCCGCCGTGATATTGCTGGAATATTGCTAAAAGCGGCGTAAAACCATACCCACTCACTCACTCACTCACTCTATGTATTGTCATACTCTAAACGATGTCTCGATATTAAAATCTAATAGTCACATGGACCTATCAACTGCAGTCGTCCCTTGGTGTCAGAAAGGTCCTCCGCACCCAATGCTTGCACTAAGAAGGGACTACAATGAAGGCCGGATTGTCACCATATGACTCATCGACGTTTATGACATCAAGCACAAGTTTACCGTGTCCATCCCGATTATTCCGGGGTAGAATAGGTCCTCAGCATCCCATACTTGCCGTAAAAGGTGACTATGCTTGTCGTAAAAGGCGACTAACGGGATCGGGTGGTCAGGCTCACTGACTTGGTTGATGCATGTCATCGTATCCCAATTGAGTGGATCGATGCTCATGATATTAATCACTGGATTGTCTGGTCCAGACTCGATTATTTACAGACCGCCGTCATATAGCTGGAATATTGCTGAGTGCGGCGTTAAACAACAAACCAAAACCAATCATCCCGATTATTTACAGCTCGACGTGACATGGATGGAGTACTTACACAGCGTAAACCATCACGGAGTCCATTTCTCGAAATGTTCTATGTCTGGAATGTATCTCATGGTCACGATGCACGAGAGATTAAAATAAATAAATATGCAAATCCCGTATCCAAAATAGCAGGTCATCTAAAATCGCTTCTTACATGGTACTTAGAATGTCGAAACTTTGGTACAACTGTTTTCAATTTCCATAGTTGTTTTCAGAATAGAGTATCACTTTGTTCACGTAGGTCATGGCCAACATATATATAATTGTTTTCCCAAGAACCTTTCTTCAACCGACGTCCATCTGAAACAGCCAACTCTCCCGAAACGCCATTACCGCTTGACCTTGATGAAAAGTCTATGCCAATTGACATATCTGCTTGAATGGCGTTTTCTCGAGACACTTCATTCATATAGGCACGATCCTGTTCTTCAATGGGATGGTTGTTATCAGGGCACATTCCCTTGCGTTTCCTGGATTTTCTTCCGTTGTCCAGAAACATACTCTCTCTCCCTTCCTCTCGAGTAACACAGCCTTCCATGTCGGACAGGTCTTGGAGGGAAATACAGTCATCTTCACTCATGACCGGAGCCCTTCTAGGGATACCGAGCGTGCGGCGTCGACGATACCTGGAATTACAGAAACGTCATTTGGTGGATAAAATACAAATGAGTTTTTATTATGTCGAATGACATTGTCAGTTATGACAAAAATCTGTGGCGTTTTCAGTTAAGACATATGTCAACAAGAGATTTAACAAACAAATGGCTGTCAGATAGCTGGAATATAGCTGAGTTTGGCGTTAAACAATACACACAAAAAAAGAAGTACATACTAATGTAAAAATGCTAAACACGACACGAATACATGAATTTCCATGTGTGCCCTTATATTCGGGAATTCGTGTGGGGGTAGGACGTGCACGTGCAATGCCAAAAAATATTATGTCAAGTCTATAACGAAAGAATGGCGACATAGCTATCTGTTAAATGTTCTTGCATACTGCACCCATTTCTATTTAAAGTAGTTAGTAATAATTGTACAAACCTTATTATGTTAAAATGTTGTTAAGAATTGATCACCAACACCCCCTGATTGTCGTAAGGAGCCGATTAATTTGCGTTTCGGGTAGTTACTATTGTTTGCACAACTGTATATACCTGGTCATCATATTTCCATTGTAAAATGTTCAAGTCATCAATCGTTAGGGGGCACGGTAATGTCTGAGACCTGCATCACTTGGGGCTTTACTCCCAAGTCAAGCTGACACGCTGTGATACAACTGGCCATGGAATGCTCCCAACTCACTAACTCATCAATCACTATTTATTCATTCTTTTGCTAAACGGTGTTTTTGTCAGATTCGGGTTGTCAGCATTGTGCTATTTTGTAAAACCTATAACAAAGATATTCATATACTGTCTTTTTTAACAATGGATCAGAAAGAAATCTATTTAAGAAATGGAAATACGATAAGCGCACATGCTACCAGTGTGGCAATATATTTCCTCATCATGTATATATAAATGACGAGGTGTGAGGATGTGAGTGTGTGTGTGTGTGAGTGTGTGTGTGTGTGTGTGTGTGTGTGTGTGAGAGAGAGAGAGAGAGAGAGAGAGAGAGAGAGAGAGAGAGAGAGAGAGAGAGAGAGAGAGTGTGTGTGTGTGTGTGTGTGTGTGTTTATAACATATAAATGACTATATGTTTATAACAAATCAATCTTATATCTTAAATCTTATTATTACATTGCTAGCTGGCTGATTACTCTGACCCCCGCGGTGTTGAGGACTACACTTATTACTACTGCTGGTATACCTCACCTACTTACAGGCATCCCTGATATACACGTATATAATATACATATAAAATATGGCTCGTCTTCACGGCGGCGTATTGACTTCGACTTCGATTTATATGAGTTTTTGTTTTATTTAAAAAATTTACATTTTACATTTGTACCATTACTCTCAGGTTACATTTATATGCATAAATATGAATGGCTAAAATTTTGAATTAAAAAAGGCTAATATTCTTAATTACCATCAAAAACCTGTATTCGGTGAAAACGCTTAACCTCTAACCAAAGGAGAAACATTGTGTGTTACACTTCAAATTATATTAGCCGCACCCGTTTCCTGACGTACAAAATATAACAAAAGTTCCTGTGACATTGAATAAGATTTAATGCAAAGTAATGTTTTTTACAAAATCTGAAACAATTTTGGTTTGAAATAGATAAAAGACTCCTCAGTGTTCAAATGGTTTAATTTGCTATACTGACTTCAGAAAATGCGTGATTTCATAAAAAAAAAAGATGAACATACCAAAATGTCAATTTACAAATCAATAGCGTGTGTGTCCACCTCTGGTTGCGATGCAAGTATCACATCTTCGTCTCATGGAATGGACCACGCATCGCACAAAGTCCTGTGGGATATCTGTCCATATCTGCTGGAACATGTTTCGAAGTTCCTGGAGTGTCTGTGGAAAACGTGGTTGACGTCGAAGGCGCCGATCCATCTCATCCCACATGTGCTCGATTGGTGAGAGATCAGGGGAGCGAGCCGGCCAGGGGATGACATTCACGTTGTTTTGTTGAGGAGAACAAGTCGAGCAATATGTGGCCAGGCGTTGGCATGTTGAAAGGTAATGCCATGGCCATGACGACGCAAAAACGATACAACAGGGCCGATGATCTCGTCGCGGTAGCGCTGTCCATTGAGGTTTCCCTCTACCACTATCAAACGGGTCTTCCGTCTTGCTGTAATCCCACCCGATACCATAACGCTGCCGCCCCCGAACCGATCTTCTTTATGACACAATGATTGACGTAACGTTCACCTCGACGTCGGTACAGTCGAATCCTTCCATCGCTGTGGCTGAGGTGAAAACGAGACTCTTCAGTTAATAGAACTTGTCCCCACTACATGGCCGTCCAGCGTAGACGCTGTCTGCACCACTGTAGACGTGCTTGACGGTGGTTTCCTGTCAAAATGGGACGTCTGGCGGGTCTTCTGGCGACAATCCCTGCACATCTGAGTCGGCGACGTACGGTTTGTGGAGATATTCGTCGAAGGCCAGGGATGCTTCTTGCAGTCACTGTTACTGGCTGGAATCGATTTCGTAGGTGTGTTGTTCGAATCCAGTTGTCTTGTCGATTATTGGTGACTCGTGGCCTGCCACTCCGAGGATGGTCTCTGACTGCATTCGTCTGTTGCCAACGTTGCCATAAACACAAAATGGTGTTTCTGTGGAGGTTAAATTGTCTTGCAACATCACGTTGACTAGATCCTGCTTTAAGCATACCAAAGGCTCGCAGACGCTCATTTTCGGAAAGGCGTGGCATTTCGTAATGTTGAATAATTGCGTAATTTTGTTGTTTCTCTGAGTGGCTGTTGTCAGCACGATGCTAAACAATGCATATGGAATCCTGTTAACGCTCATGTTTTTATACCCATACTCTATGGGGCTTGCATAAAAGTTAACTTTTGCATGGAATGCATGCTTTTCTGTAGCAGTTGCGTATTTGTGACTTGATTCCATACATGTACTACAATATTGAAAACCAAACTTTACTTGTTTGAAAAATACACTAAAATATTGGTGTCACAGGAACTTTTGTTGTTGAGTATATATTCTTGTTATTATTTTTAGAATTATAATAACGGAGCTGCTGCTGGCATAGAGCTTTTTTTTTGCCTTTTTTTAATTATTCCACTTTTTTTATCGTACAGCATTTCATACATATTAATGTTCATACAGCGAATCTTAAAACAACAACAGAATCATACATCATGGGGGCATATGAACTCAGATAATTCAGTATTTGAGTTGATATAGTTACAAAAATAGTTTGTTGCAACTGGACCAAAACTTCACAAACTTGTTGTAGTTACAGTTAGAGTAAGCTATCGCTTTAGTTATAAAGTAGTAATTTGCCAACTCTCCCTGGATCAACTCGAAAGACATTTTTTTCTTTTTAAGATAAAATTTGAATATAGTATCCTTAATGACAAGGCATATAGCATTTAATGGATCATTTCCTTTAAATGGAAAGCCCAGTAAAACGTTTTCTTTGGTGAAATTGATATAAATTTCCGCCTTATTATTTATCCATCTTTCAAGTTCGGCCCAGAGAGAGTTAGCATTTTCACAATTCCATAGTACATGAGACTGCTGGCATAGGGCTGGTAACGCGTTAAAGATGGCTAAACACAAAATTAATGTATTTTTTGTGTAAATACGACACTTCTTCAGGACAAAGAAGCGCGCAAAGTGTGATTGTTGTTGTTTCCGAAGAGTAGTGTAACGCACCTTTTGCTGATGATAAACTGCAGGACAAGAAGACCAATGTAGCTGAGAAACAGTGCCATGACTGTGACCATCAGATACGTCAGATACCAAAGGTGTTGTATGTCTGAAATATAATAGTTTGGGTTTAGGTAGTTTAAGCAGTAATCAAAAGGCGATTCGGCCGTGCCGTATATTATATTATACAGAACGCATCATCAAGCACTTTTAAATCTTGTAATATCGTTATTCATATTCATATGATCAAAAATGGATATTTTTAGTTTGTGCTCTTTGTATCCGGGGTAGAATAGGTCTTTAGCAACCAATGCATGCTGTAAAAGGCGACTATGCTTGTCGTAAGGGGCGACTAACGGGATCGGTTGGTCAGGCTCCCTGACTTGGTTGATGCATGTCGTCGTATCCAAATTTCGTGGAACGAGGCTCATGATGTCAATCACTGGATTGTCTGGTCCAGACTCGTTTATTTACAGACCGCCGTCATATAGCTGGAATACTGCTGAGTGCGCCGTTAAACAAAAAAACCAAATAAAAACCAAAAAAATGAAATGTCAAATTTGTATCTTATGTTTATGTATAGCTCCTTTCAACGACAGAAACGAGCCGAAGGATTTGAACCAGTTATACGCTGTATCGATACCAAATACTCTGTTTCACAAAGAGTAAGTCGAAGTATGTGAGTTGACACTAAGCACTAAATTCTCTTTGTGAAACGGGGCCCTGGCCACTGTGACAGATATATCGCACATGCGGAATGTCACTTATGGCATAGTATTAGTATTGACATTACTGTTGTATGATACACAGACAACATCATGAAATGCATATACACATACCTTCTCCTTTTCCAAACCTAAAGAAGTCCTGATCTCCCATTTCATGGATGTATCCTCACGCACTGTCTGACTCAATGTTGTTCACATTCCATTTCAATTTGTCAAAAGAGGAAAATGAAACATGAATTATTGGTGACGCGAGAAATGTTTTAAACATCACCCTTGTTCGGAAAGAGTTGGTTAACAGGCGGTAATACAGGCGAATAGGACACTTTATACAGTATAAAGCCAGTTTTGAAAAGTGGATTAATAGCGTAAAAACGGGTTGAACAAAAGAAGCCGTGATTGCTACCGAACACAATGGGTTACTATATATATACCCTTTGTCATGTGGGAGTCTGACATTAAGGAGAAACGTGTGGCGATACAGTTTAAATAAACTAAATAATGACTCTTTATCGACAAACTTCTTTTAGTACCAAAACTGATTTTCTTTAACAAAATCTCCTTTTCTTCGATGACTAATAGAAAATACTGTTTCAATCAATATAGTGATTGTTTCTAGTATCTAGTTTCCAGTATATCATGGCGGTTTTGTTTGTTTGTTTATTTTTTTTTTGCTTGACGCCGCACTCAGCAATATTCCGGCTACATGACGGCGGTCTGTAAATAATCGAGTCTGGACCAGACAATCCAGTGACTGACTTGATACGCATCGATCCATCCCATTGGGAAGCGATGACATGCATCAACCAAGTCAGCGAGCCTGACCACCTGATCCTGTTAGTCGCCTCTTACGACAAGCATGGGTTCCTGAAGACCTATTCTAGCCCGGATCTTCACAGGTTATACGGCGGTATTTGATAGGGTAAGTGTATATATAAGAGGGAGTAACTGAGTTCACCAAGATAACTGTAATAATCCGATTGTGCACAGTTTTGTTCAAAGGTTTTTGGATCCATGTTACAACATGCTAGGTCAAAGTAAAACTTTCAAAATGGTTTTATGTCAGACATGTGGAGAACACTTCCAAATGTGACGCATCGGTGACAACAATGGTATCTGATACAATTCCATTTTTTTACCGTATTATTTCAGGTAAACAATTGACTTGCCTTTTTATGTGTTTGTGACGGATGGGGGGGAGTATACGTTCACATTTTAGCGAACACCTGTTATAATCATTATTTGAGACTGATGAATAAAAACGATAAAAACCCGTTCCACAGTAATAAGAAATATCGGCAAAAACAGTCCATTGTACGATTTCGACTATATCATAAGCATGTGTTTATAAATCATTATCAAACCAGTTGTTCGCGAAAAGGTGAGCGTATCCTGCCCCGCCGGTGCCACCCGTCACAAACACATGCAAAGGCAAGACAACTCTTCACGGTAGCATATGGTACAAGTTAAAATAAGGAATTGTATCGGACATTAACACACGTTAAGGATATACCAGGAGTCGTACAATGAACTCTTTTGGTCGATGTTTGTTGTGATTGTGGAAATGTTTTTTACGCTTTGATTGAAAGCGAAGTGTGCAAACAATGTAATTTTATATTCATTATGTCTATATGACGTCACGTGAAACTTAGCTGTGTCGGCGGCATTACTATACACTTTATATATATGAAGCCCATTTCTGGTGTCCCCCGCCGTGATATTGTTGGAATATTGCGAAAAGCGTCGTAAAACCCAACTCACTCACTCACTTTATATTTGAGCCGCTATGTACGTATGTCAGAGATGTTGCTGAAGAATCTATTGTAATTCGTTGATCCACGATGTCGCTAGTGCCCCTCCACATAAGTGTGTGAGTGAGGGAGTGTGGTTTTACGCCGGTTTTAGCAATATTCCAGCAATATCACGGCGGGGGACACCAGAAATGGGCTTCACACATTGTACCCCTGTCGGGAATCGAACCCGGGTCTTCGGCGTGACGCTTTAACCACTAGGCTACCCGATGGATGTCCGTTTTCACTTTGGTCGTTCACGGTGCAAACTCAGATGTTGGAGCTACAACTCGCGGTACACGTTTTTTCTTTTCAATTCTAGTATTAGCTGAACCATGGAGAAGTATCATACGAAAGTATTATAATGACAAGTACGGTAAACTTCTCTTATAACGAACACGCTTATAACGAACTCACCCATATAACGAACTTATTTTTTAGACCCGGCCATTTGTTGCATATATGCTGTATGTATGCTTATAACGAACTACGGTTATTACGAACTAAAATTAGTGGTCCCTTTGAGTTCGTTATAATCGTAGTTTACTGTACTACATTTGACACCATGAATATTTTGCATCCCTCCACGATCCGAAAGTCGAGTTTCACAACCTCACGTATTATTTTAGCCTTAAATATTTCCTTGTTTTTGTTAGAGTTATTGATTCAGTTGCTGTCACATCAGTTGCGAATGTGATTCTTGTGTGTGGATATTTCAGCACAAATACACCAGCCTAATGTTTTCTGGAGGAGGAACATGTCAGCCAAATACAGCCAGCATTAACATTGCTCGGTCACCCATGCATCATCCATTAATTGTAACTTTATATGGTCACAGAGGCCTTAATCTCCATATGGTCTGAAGTATTGACTTTTATGCCATTAATTAATCTCAAACGAAAATCAATAGTACAGTATTACATTAGCACAATATCTCATACCAGAAGAATTTGACGATTCGAAATGGAACTACGGCGCGTGTAGACCAGTCGTCGAAGGTACCGCTATTTGTTGTGAGAGAGTTGCGTCCCTTAGGCACGCCAGAAACCTATTTTCGTAGGTTACCGGTGCTTGTGGGTTTCCCCAAAGTGGTAGACACCTTAGACCTGCATCACTTCGGGCTTTTCTCCCACATTAAGCTGACACGCCGTGAAGTAACTGAAATACTGTTCAGACTAGTGTTGAACCCACTTACTCACTCATTATAAAACTAGATGGTCACATATCAGAGATAGTACTTTAATGCATGCCTTTTCCTCGACGTTATATTTCTTTGTTCCGGTTTCAAATAACAACGCCTCTTTAAACATTATGAAACTGGATGTTCCTTTTTAGAGGCTGCTACAATAGTGGGTGAATACCAATTACCCTGCATACTGTAAATTACAAACAGCACTGTGAAGTAAATATATTTTATTAAAATCTTAGAAACAATAGAATTTCAAGACATTTGACTAACGTTAACGTTACAAATGTACATGACCAAAACATCAATACTGCATTACATGAAGACATATTGTCCCCACGGATATAATGTCCCAATCTAAGTCGTTTCCCGGGCAATAAACTGCCCAAACACATGTTATAACTATACCCGAATGCAGCCTTTCCACGGGTATATTTTTCATTATATGATGCATCCATCTGTCCAGACACTACGCTGACATATGCAGCACTAGTGCATATACTGAATATACACCGACCTGGCCATTACACGTACAAATAGTGCATATCACGGATATACATGTATAGCGATGCAGTCATTACATGGACAGATATTGCATATACAATCAGTATAGACCGATCAAGTCATTCTGAGGGCATATTTTGCACTAGTGCATATAATAAATATCCACCTTTCCAGTCATTGCATGGACATATATTGCACGAGTGCATATCATGTATACCCATCGATTCAGTCATTATCCGGGCATATATTGCACTAGTGCATATCATGTGTATCCATCGATCCATTCATTATCCGGGCATATATTGCACTAGTGCATGTCATGTGTATCCATCGACCAAGTCATTATCCGGGCATATATTGCACTAGTGCATATCATGTGTATCCATCGATCAAGTCATTATCCGGGCATATATTGCACTAGTGCATATCATGTGTATCCATCGATCCAGTCATTATCCGGGCATATATTGCACTAGTGCATATCATGTGTATCCATCGATTCTGTCATCATCCGGGCATATATTGCACTAGTGCATATCATGTGTATCCATCGATTCAGTCATTATCCGGCATATATTGCACTAGTGCATATCATGTGTATCCATCGATTCAGTCATTATCCGGTACATGTCTACGTTGCCCTTTAGTTGCAGCTACAATTGACAAAGATCACCTAACTTGTAACTGCCTCCCCTACTAACGGACAAAAGCTTCGCCTTGGGCTTCACATCCTTTGACTTATCATTTTTTCCTTCGCAGTTCGCACGTCTCAGATTTGGTTGCATCTGTTTCTTAATCGTGTCTGATTCTGTCGCGTTTATCTCTTCTCTTGCCAATGGTGCTTTGATATCGGACGATTTCACTGAAACTGTGTCCCCAGCTGTTGATTTTAGTACCTCGGGCACTGGTATTTTTGTTTCTAGGATGTCCTTGGACACGACTTTTAATTCGGGTTCCTTTTCAAGTGCAACAGCAGACAAACTATCTTTGGGTGTGGCTTTGCTTGGAACACCAAGGCTAGGTGTATCACTGGCTATGCCTTGCAACATATCACTTTTCTTTGACATTTCTTTATCTGAGTTTTGAATATTGAGAACAAGTTTAGCAACATCCACTTCAGGTTGTTCCATAGATGGGACTTTAGCAATAGGTGGTCCTATTTGGAGTACATCTTGGGTTAAGAGCTCTACGGTCGCATCTTCTCCTATTTTGTCATTTGGTTTCATCAGATTGATTGCTTTAGGCTGTTCTTCAGTTAATGCAGACCGTGACAGATCTGCTGCCAGTTCATTTGAGGGTAGCGTTATGTCTTCAGAGAAATACGCAAACAAGTTTGCATTCTGATGAGACCTTCCTTCAACCGTCAAAGAACGTGGACTCAGTCGTTTCAAAGAAGACTGATTAGAACCTGACGGTGTTGGCTGCGTGATGTTTTTTTCAGTGTTGTTGGTCGTTGACAAATTTGACGAGCAGGGTGCAAAGGCAGAAGAGGCTTTAAGAATATTGCTTCTCTGGTAACCTACTTGTTGATTTTTAGGTGCATCAGTATGCTTGTCTGTAATATATTTTAATGCATATGCCTGTTGTGGGGATTCGATACCACTGCTGCTACAATCTTGACCGAGTTTGAGAATCTTTGGTGAATCCTCCTTTGCCACGTGTGGTTTGTTTATGTTACCATCCATTTTATTTCCGCTGGTGACTGGCTTCTTCGCTTTTTGTTTCTTGTGATGTTTTTTCTTCTTTGCAGATGGTGATCCTTTAGGCCGTGCAGGATTGCCAAGAGATTCATTAGCGCTGGCCACTAACTCTTCTGGACGATCAGGTATCGCGCATTTCAACCTCTTTTCACCTATCTCCTGATGTTGACTGTTATTATCTGATTTGACAGCTGGTTTCATTCCAGCCATTTGGATTGGTGGTAGTGGACGCCCTGCCATCTGAGATAACTTCGCCATTGGAAGAGTATTTTTCTTGTAATCTTTACCGGGGTTATAGGTTTCCTTCGTTTTAGATAGATTCTTTGGTACACGCTCAGCGGAGTTTGATTGATGATGATTTGCTGCACTTATTGCTAAGTTCGATACGGGACAGTGTGTTAGTGACTGTGTTTGCATTCTTCTCAGCGCGTTTTCAGGAAGAGATGCCCTTTCTGCTTCTGTTAATTTCAATTGTGAAGGATGAATTGGTGGAAGAGGCCTTGATTTATTGGGATCACGTTTAGGATTCTTCAGATATATTGCTTCGTAGTCGCTTCTGCGACCTCTGTTAGGCTTGGAATAGTTGGCAATGTCATCATCTGTGCCAGTTTCGGGGTTAAAGTCTCGTAATGTAGCATGGAATGTTGACTTACTTTTCTGACGACAACCACCCATGTTCACCGCCGGTTGCTGATTTACAAAACACGATTTACTCCCGCTCCTCATAGAGTTGCCCGATGCTGCTGATTCGCGTTTGTTTGCGCATGGAGCAGGTTTCGCAGATGCGCCAGATGCGCATAACGAAGGGTCTGGCTCGTTGGATCGTATTTCAGGGTTGTCTTCGGCATCTGCTGTGATCTGTCCAAAGACTGTGGCAATGTCCATGCTTCCAAGAAACGTATACCTTCTCTTCTTTCTGTGTATAAAACAAGCAAAAAGCAATTATTTAGATAATATGGCTACCTAGAAGATGCAGAAAGTGGTATTTAGGAAATAACATGACATAGCAATTTTCATTGATATGATGATTTCTATTTAATTGTATTTAAGTAAATATCTACACATCAAGGCAAAGATATATGTAATGGCTGCAAACGCCCTTTGTTATAACAGGCATATTTCCCCCCTCCCCCCTCTCTCTCTCCGCTGCTCTCTCCCTCCCTCTCTCTCTCACTCTACGCCGCTCCCTCCCTCTCTCTCCGCCGCTCCCTCCCTCTCTTTCTCTCCTACTCACTCCCTCCTTCTCTCACTCTCCGCCGTTCCCTCCCTCCTTCTCTCTTTCCCTCCCTCCCTCTCTCTCTCCGCCGCTCCCTCCCTACCTCTCTCCCCTGCTCTCTCCCTCCATCTCACTCTCCGCCGCTCCCTCCCTCTCTCTCCCCTGCTCTCTCCCTCCATCTCACTCTCCGCCGCTCCCTCCCTCTCCCTCCGCCGCTCCCTCCCTCTCCCTCTCCCTCCGCCGCTCCCTCCTTCCCTCTCTCCCTCCGCTGCTCCCTCCCTCCCTTTCCCCCTCCGCCGCTCCCTCCATGCCTCTCTCTCTCCGCCGCTCCCTCCCTCACTCTCTCTCCCCTGCTCTCTGCCTCACTCTCTCTCTCCGCCGCTCCCTCCCTCCCTTTCTCTCTCCCTCCGCCGCTCCCTCTCTCTCCCCTGCTCTCTCCCCCCTGCTCTCTCCGCCGCTCCCTCCCTCCTCTCTCTCTCCCTCCACCGCTCCCTCTCTCTCTCCGCCGCTCCCTCCCTCCCTCTCTCTCTCTCCGCCGCTCCCTCCCTCTCTCTCTCCGCCGCTCCCTCCCTCCCTCTCTCTCCCCTGCTCTCTTCCTCCCTCTCTCTCCGTCGCTCCCTCCCTCCCTCTCTCTCCCTCCGCCGCTCCATCCCTCCCTCTCTCTCCGCTGCTCACTCCCTCCCTCTCTCTCCCCTGCTCTCTTCCTCCCTCTCTCTCTCCGCCGCTCCCTCCCTCCCTTTCTCTCTACCTCCGCCGCGCCCTCCCTCTCTCTCTCTCCCTCCGCCGCTCCCTCCCTCCATCTCTCTTCCCTGCTCTCTCCCTCCCTCTCATTCTCCGCCGCTCCCTCGCTCTCTCTCTCTTTCCACCCGCCGCTTTCTCTCTCCCCTCTCTCTCTCACTCTCCGCCGCTGAGATGAAAGAATTAATGTTGGAGAGATACCTTCGTATACAGATGAAGACGACGATGGGGAGAAGGATAACAGCAGAAATCCCAAATATCCACACACCAGGATGTGTAACTGGAAAAGGGAAATGAAACGTACACAAACATAATGTTTTTTAAATATTCCGGTTTGTGTGTCCGGTATCGCAGCTTGCCTTATTCTGTGGCCAAAACATGACCTGCACTCAGTAATAACACATCCATTCAATGTAATGTGATATGCCACACTGTTCTGTCCAGTCCACACATGACATACACACTTACATGTATCACGGCATGTGTGGAATGTTGTTCATGCTATCAACGTGGAATGTCTGACAATACTCCATCCTTTCGTGATGTTTGATATTGTTGACTGCGTTGTGAACCAGACTTTGCAATAAGTTTAAACTACAGAAAACCTATTTTATGCATAGGAGGCTTTAATGGATTCTATGTCAGTTGTTAACCACAAGTATATACATAAGTATTTTTATAATAAAATGACATGTTTTTGATCAGAAAAATAACCACTTAATATAGAAAAAACTTTATTTGGATATAATAGAAAATTAGTGAGATTTGCATTTTAGGGTACTGCTTTTGATTCCTAGAAGAGAGTGTGTTATGGATTCTTTGTCAGTTGTTAACCACAAGTATATACATAAGTATTTTTTAACAAAATGACATGTTTTTTTATCAGAAAATAACCACTGAATATAGAAAAAGCTTTATTTGAAAATATAAGGTGAATCAGAGTGAGTGGGTGAGATGGGTTTAACGCCGCTTTTAACATTATTCTAGTTATATCACGGCGTGTCAGCTGAATGTGGGTGGAAAGCCCGAAGTGATGCAGGTCTCAGACGTTTACCACTTCAGTGAAACCCACGAGCACGGGTATGGTGCTGACAAACCTAGAAACATAATCGTGGCGAACCGGGATTGGAACCCACAATCATAGGTTTCTGGCGTGCCCAAGGGACGCAACTCTGCACAGCGAATCGCGGCGCTTTAGACGACTGGGCCACCCGTGCCCCCAGGTGAATCAGAAGATCAGATAATAGATATAAGTGGCCTTAGATATAAACATGTCATTCACATGCTCAAGTGCTTATGCCACACGTTCTGTACACTATAAATGATACGTTAATTAGCACACGATAGGAAGCGCGTAGACCATATACAGTGTACATGTGACACATGACTGCGTCCTCTTGAGTCATACATGTGAGACCATAGTCCACAGATAGTTGCAACATACAGTAACTGTACATGGAAATTCCAGATTACCTGGGTCGTAGTTGTCCATCATAGGCGTACTGAACTGAAATAGAAACCAGTTCGACGTCAAAGCCTTTTAAAGCATACAAAGCAACATGATACTTCAATACTTCAGGAGAGTGAGTTAGTATGGCTTTACGCCGCTTTTAGCAATATTCCAGCAATATCACGGCGTGGGACACCAGAAATGGGCTTCACACATTGTACCCATGTCGGGAATCGAACCCGGGTCTTCGGCGTGCCGAGCGAACGCTTTAACCACTAGGCTACCCGACCGCCCACTTCAAGAGAGAGAGAGAGTGAGAGAGAGAGAGAGAGAGAGAGAGAGAGAGAGAGAGAGAGAGAGAGAGAGAGAGAGAGAGAGAAATATTTCGTACAAATGTATATATTAACCATAGTGAATTAAGGTAACTATCACTTCACGCGGACGAATGTATTGTTTCCGTCATCTGGATGCCGTGTCTAGTGTGACGTCATTACGATCTTACGTCACAATAAGATTCGCATGAAAAACATTCCGCCTCTCTCTCTCTAAATATGTTCTTGTTTCATATTATTTTGTGTAGTATCTGACAAATTCAAGTACAGTACATGGCCGTCATAAAGCTTATTCATCTTTATTAAGGAACTACTTATAACAAGCCTAAAGAAATACAAAGGCACCACCAAGTAACATTTCTTCACCATGGTATACTGGTAAATGGTACATGCAGTTTTATCAATATATAAATCAATACCGAAAACACTCATGTAGTGTATTACAACTCTTAAAAAGAAATATCATTCTCAATACATTCTATCGTTCCTGACTATTAAAATATATTTACTATCCATTTTTGCAAATGTTCTTAACCACAGCCAGTGCGCGTTACGTACATATAGAGGATAAATAGTGTATGTATGTAAATAATTACCCATTGAAAATGTTGTATGACAACAATGATTAATTCTATGATACATAGACTTCTCACTGTGCTTATCATTGTATTGTATTCCAATGTATCTCTATCAGGCGGGAGAACAATGTTGTATTCTAGAGATTGGCATCTGTATTCATGATCGTTACATTGTGCTTATGTGTTATAAAACGGATGTATCCAATATGAAAGTGACTGAGCGATTATTGCTCGCCGTGAATAGCTATTCGCGGCGGGCAATAAGAAAGTAATTCTTTGTACTTGTATAACATAAATGGAAGTAGTCTTGATCGAATTGTCATTGAATATTTCACTTAAAGTGTATCAAAAGGATAATTTCATACCTGATATCCCGCTTCTTGCCAAACGCCGAGCAGGGTTCCAGGGTCAAAAGGAGGACACCCGCCCACTTAGCTTAATCACATATTAACACCACGGTTCATAAGGAATATGACTGTAATGGTAATAACTACCAACAAAACATGGCGCAACCAGTGTTCATTGCCATATGGGGAGAACGTCACATCAGGGAAATGTGTCTGATGCACCTCTGATTAATAATGTGCGAACAGGAAATGGTTTGATTCATATGAAAATACAAAAACGACCCGGAAATATTTTAGACCTAAAATGCATTTTAAAAGTAATCAGAGAGGCTGTTTTTCATGTACAAATATTACGGTTTATATTATACCAAGAAGGAATTGGAAATAGCTTTTAATATGAATACGACCCTGGGGGAAAAGCCTACAAAGAAACCTAATAAATAAAAAGGTTTAATAGGAGGCTCCCATTAGAAGCTTTAGTACGTTTCAACTTCTTGGTTATTCACAATCTGCATTGATTGACATTTGGAGAAGTTTTATGCATGTTTTTTTGTTATCGTTTGTTTGTTGTTTGACGCCGTACTCAGCAATATTCCAGCTATATGACGGCGGTCTGTAAATAATCGAATCTGTGACCAGACAATCAATTGATTGATATCATGATCATCGATCCAAGCAATTGGGATACGATGATATGCATTAACCAAGTCAGCCAGCCCGACCCCCCGACCCCGTTAGTCGCCTCTTGCGACAAGCATAGTCACCTGTTACGACAAGGATGTAGGTTGCTGAAGACCCATTCGAACTCGGATCTTCACGAGTATATTGCGCATGTATTGTTATAGTATAGAGTTATATTAGAGGTTGTCAGTTGGTTTGGTTGGTTTGTTGTTTAAGGCCGCACTCAGCAATATTCCAGTAATATGACGGCGGTCTGTAAATAATCGAGTCTGGAACAGACAATCCAGTGATTAATATCATGTGCATCAACCCACGCAATTGGGATTGATGACCGTGCATCAACCAAGTCAGCGAGCCTGACCACCCGATCCCGTTAGTCGCCTTTTACGACAAGCATAGTCGCCTTTTACGGCAAGCATGGGTTGCTGAAGACCTAGTCTACCCCGGAATCTTCACGGGTCTGAGAGAGAGAGGTTGTCAGTGCAGGTATGGATATAGTATTTACGTTGAATTACGTCTGTTCAGTACAGACACAGACACAGACATCAGCCCAAGCCTTTAAACGTTTTGGATACACGGTTTCAGAAATACATATTTTTTAACAAATGGTGCAATATAAGAAATAACATTTTCCATGCGTTTATACATGTTACATGTGTCTATGTATGTAAATGTAACACATAAAACCGATAATAACACAACACCTCTAAGTATGGCTAGTTTAACTGGAGTTTAACTGGAGTTTAACTGGAGTTTTCTAATAGGCAATTCACTATGGAACCAACTGTATATTACATGTGGATCTGAATGTTGTGTACCTCTCTAAATACAGGGACTATGAACAGGAAATGCGTATATGCATTTAATCTCACAAGGTAACAATGATAATGTTTATATTGTGTTACAGTTGATAGACAGCGATTTGGTCACTTGACACAGAAGTATTGGCTTACTAATTCTTTTTAAAGTTGATTTCTCTTACGGATATATTGAAATAATTAAGATCTATATGATTTTCATTTCCAATATGAAAAGTATAACTTTTTCCTTTGTGAAACAAACTAAACAAAACATCTGTTCAACAACGAAATTAGATTTTATTCTATAAGATGAACCGTTATGTACAAAGCAATGAAGAAATATCATCATGTCATTGCATATGGTTTTATTTTTTTTCTAAAAATGTTTTTTTGCAAGTGAAATGAGCATATATGTTGAAAGTTCCTGTAATATATAATATCATGAAATTTATATTTATCATTCTTTAAGATGTAAATAAATCCACCTATATTTGTAACACAAAAGCCATTAAAACTTTCGTAACATGTTTTATCAACACCATGCATAGTGTCCCAGTTAGACTGGTAAACATACCAAGACAACTTTACTGATTCAGTGCTTCATCCGTATTCATATATTATTCTTTCACATTCTGAAGAAACCTCAAGAACGTAACTGTCCGTGAATATCCGGATTAGAATTGATAGTTTGAGAGTCAATAACTGGATTGTTTGGTCCAGATTCGAATATTTACAGACCCCCGTCAATACAGCAAACAAGCGAGAACATAACTATGAAATTTAACTAATGACAGTTTCGTGATAGCCTGTCTTGTCCTCCCGTTTGCGACCATCAAAAGTCAAAGCCAAGGTCAAAGTCACGATGAAGACCAACAAAATTCCAGAATTGTGCTTTATGCATCGAAACAATGACATACACCAAGCTTGGTTTTTATGAATACCTCTTGTCGGGCTTTGGTTTGGGAGGTACGGGGGGTTTCACTGATTGCGTTCTTGCTGTTGATGTGTCAAGTAATGGTTCCTGGTAGTGTTCATTTTCTGCTTTGATTTCCTTTCCTTTGACAGGTACTGGTGGCTTTCTATGTGTGTCAGCTACAGTCATACCTTCGTTAACGTACTGGACAGCTTGCTCATTCAGTGGTGTGTCATCAGGTTTCACAATGGCTGATTCATCATCAGGTAGAATTTCAGCTGATCCTTTGAAGGATGTCTGTCTCTTGTATCCCGAAACGTTGTAGGGATGGGATTCAATAGCTGTCAGGTAACCAGAAAATCGCAACGGCTCAGCTTTCCAAGGCACCTCATGCTGTGAGCCGATACGTTCATGAGGAGCCATTCCCATGCCATATGAGATGGGTGTTCCCTGCTCACACAGTGAGATTGTATTTCCGGGACCAGGCTCATCTTCTTCTATAAATGAAGCATATAGGTTTGCCTGTGCATCCTTAATCTTTTTTTCAAATGACATTTCGATTCCCCTCTCATAGAAAGGATTAACAAAGTCATTATCATCAAGTCCTTCAGTTCTGAACGCAACGTTTTGTTGGTTAGGTTTTGATCCATGACGACTACGTCTAGATCGTGGCATATCATCTATACAGTCATAAAGGTGGTCCTCTATTATGGAATCATAATAATGATTCATTATAGTGTCAGCTTCATCTAATCGGTCATCGCATATTTCATCATATGCAACCGTAGTTTCTTCGAGCGAGATTGCACCTCCAACCTCCGCACCCGATAAGTTGCTTTTTGCAATCTCAAAGTCATCCTTGTCTGTGAGTCTTGGTACAGACGGGGGAGGCGCAGTAGGTCTACTATTCTTGAAGGACTTGCGGATTGCTATAGTCTGACATTCACGTTCCATAGGACACTTCTCTGATGACACCAGTGGTACAGCAAACGGTGGTGTTGGTTTTGTGGTAACCGCGTCCCTCTTCATTTGGTCTTTTCCAATGACCGCCTGTAGTTCTTCTATCCTTGCCTTTTGCATTTGTGAGGCATTCTCTGGAAGCCTCCTGCCTATTCGTGTCAGCCTTGGTTGTGTAGCTGGGAGAGGTGGCGGCCCCAAAGTAGGGCTCGTATCGTTGACAATAGATGCTGACAAGGAATTAATAGCAATACCATGTAGCGACGGAAATACATCACCCTCAAGACTGTCATCAAATCCATTTGGTGTTCCTGACAATAACGTTGTTTCTGTGGACGCGTTGGTGCCCTCTACTGTTTGTTGTTCGCTTGAGGAACTGCTTTTCATTCTAGGAACAGGGATCGGGCGTTTTGGCATGTCTTCACTTGCATCTATCCTTTCGCGATCACATCCATCGCCGGTTGAATCAGGTTTGGAGTACATAGGGTTTTCTAGTAAGTTCGTTGTGGTAGTTACCAATTCAGTAACATGCTGTGTGATCTCCTCATCTATCTCTGTCTGTTGTTCTTTGCTCTTCATAACATCAATCTGACTTTCATCTTCACGCGAATATCTAGCCTCGCGTAATAGTAACCTATTCTTGTCTTTCACACCGTCACGGTTGTTAATATCACCCCGCACTTGGTCATCCTTGTCCAACATCAGCCTGTCTCCAACTTCATCATCGTCATTGTGTATTGAGTGTTCAAGACCATCTTGATCCCTACATGCTGTTCCGTAATCCTTGAGTTGCACCATGTAATTTCGTGCAGGCTTTTTAAAACAGGATCGACATACCATTCTGTAAATACAAAGATTCAGTGTGTTTAGATTCGCTTTCCACAAAACTTTTGAACTTTGATCTTTAAGATAATCCGTCAGATGACCTTTAAGAACTTGACACTACGCTTACAACCCACTCTCATGATAGGGAAGGGAGCCTGGTAAACGTATCTCGGTTTCGATTCCTTATACATAGTTCTACAATCTGAACAAGACATAAACAAGAAACATGCATATTGAACACTGCAGTAAACACGATTCGTATATTTTCTATTACTTCCCTAATTTATTTTGACTACAAGCTAACGAAAGAAGGATATATTTCATCAACGAGTCACACAATTCGAAATGGTGATGAAGTTTCACTTTACGAGGAACTGGCCATTTGATATTCGGAGGTGGGTGGGGGGGGGGGGGGGGGGGGGTTGGGGGTTGGGGGGGGTGGGGGGGATGGGGATGGGGATGGAGGGGGGGGGATTTGGTTGGTTGGTTGGTTTTGGTTGGTTGTTTATCGCCGCACTCAGCAGTATTCCAGCTATATGACGGCGGTCTGTAAATAATCGAGTCTGGACCTGACAATCCCTTGATTGACATCATGCGCATCGATCCACGCAATAGGGACCATTGACATGCATCAACCAAGTCAGCGAGCCTGACCACCCGATCCCGTTAGTCGCCTTTTACGATAAGCATAGTCGCTTTTTACGGCAAGCATGGGTTGCTGGAGACCTATTCTACCCCGGATCTTCACGGGCAGGGGATTAGGTGGTGGGATTTTGTATCGCGATTAGATTCAAAACTATGAGCCTGAATATTCTGAAGCATAATTATATTTTCTTTTCTGTTAAATCCCAGCCGCCTCTCAAACCCACCCTCCCCTCCCCTCCCCTCCCCTCCCCTCCCCTCCCAAAAATCGAATGGTCGGTTCCTAGTTTACCTTAAACAACCATAGATGAGGATTATCAGCACTGCGGCCACGATCACTGGCCATACAGAAAGATTTGCAATCAGGAGACTCCTATTAATCTCCATCTGAAATGAAACCTTTGGTGATTAAATGGTACCGTTAGCAGAGTCATCACCTGGGCAGGGCAATATACACATCAACATTAAACTGTGTATGTGTGAGGGACTTCGGTTTAGCGCAACTTTGAGCCGTTTCCAGTCACAGCACACTCTTATAATGACACAGATTGATTCAGGTCCTAGATGGTCAGACTTTAGGGACTCACGAGCATGGGTACAAACCACACTTCATTAACAGGCCGAATCTGGGATTCGAGCCAACGATAACTAATGTCTGTGTTTTATATTTGCGGCCAATTAAAGCTAGATAACGAATGCTTTTATCGGGATTTAACACTGATGTCTGCTTATCATTGACCAATCAATCGCGAGTTAAAATGGTGTCCTGTTAAAATTGTGTCAAACACAATGGTAAATGAGGAAATCTTCTATCGAGAGTTAAGTCAAACAATGATAGATTAAGAAAGTTCTGTGGAGAGTTAAGTCATGTCTAGTTGTCAGGGGTCAAACACTGATAGATTAAGAAAGTTCTATCGAAAGTTAAGTCAAACAATGATAGATTGAGAAAACTCTATGGTAGTTAAGTAATGTCTAGTTATCAGGGGTCAAACACTGATAGATTAAGAAAGATCTGTGGAGAGTTAAGTAATGTCTAGTTATCAGGGGTCAAACACTGATAGATTAAGAAAGTTCTATAGAGAGTTAAGTCATGTCTAGTTGTCAGGGGTCAAACACTGATAGATTAAGAACGTTCTGTGGAGAGTTAAGTCATGTCTAGTTATGAGGGGTCAAACACTGATAGATTAAGAAAGTTCTGTGGAGAGTTAAGTCATGTCTAGTTGTCAGGGGTCAAACACTGATAGATTAAGAAAGTTCTATCGAAAGTTAAGTCAAACAATGATAGATTGAGAAAACTCTATGGTAGTTAAGTAATGTCTAGTTATCAGGGGTCAAACACTGATAGATTAAGAAAGATCTGTGGAGAGTTAAGTAATGTCTAGTTATCAGGGGTCAAACACTGATAGATTAAGAAAGTTCTATAGAGAGTTAAGTCATGTCTAGTTGTCAGGGGTCAAACACTGATAGATTAAGAAAGTTCTGTGGAGAGTTAAGTAATGTCTAGTTATCAGGGGTCAAACACTGATAGATTAAGAAAGATCTGTTGAGAGTTAAGTAATGTCTAGTTATCAGGGGTCAAACACTGATAGATTAAGAAAGTTCTGTGGAGAGTTAAGTCATGTCTAGTTGTCAGGGGTCAAACACTGAAAGATTAAGAAAGTTCTGTGGAGAGTTTTGTCGTGTCTAGTTATCAGGGGTCAAACAATGATAGATTAAGAAAGTTCTATGTTAATTAAGTAATGACTAGTTATCAGGAGTCAAACACTGATAGATTAAGAAAGTTCTGTGTAGAGTTAAGTCATGTCGAGTTATCAGGAGTCAAACACAGATAGATTAAGAAAGTTCTATGTTAATTAAGTAATGTCTAGTAATCAGGGGTCAAACAGAGATAGATTAAGAAAGTTCTGTGTAGAGTTAAGTCATGTCGAGTTATCAGGAGTCAAACAATGATAGATTAAGAAAGTTCTATGTTAATTAAGTAATGTCTAGTAATCAGGGGTCAAACAGAGATAGATTAAGAAAGTTCTGTGTAGAGTTAAGTCATGTCGAGTTATCAGGAGTCAAACACAGATAGATTAAGAAAGTTCTGTGGAGAGTTTTGTCGTGTCTAGTTATCAGGGGTCAAACAATGATAGATTAAGAAAGTTCTATGTTAATTAAGTAATGACTAGTTATCAGGAGTCAAACACAGATAGATTAAGAAAGTTCTGTGTAGAGTTAAGTCATGTCGAGTTATCAGGAGTCAAACACTGATAGATTAAGAAAGTTCTGTGGAGAGTTAAGTAATATCTAGTTATCAGGGGTCAAACACAGATAGATTAAGAAAGTTCTGTGGAGAGTTAAGTCATGTCTAGTTATCAGGGGTGAAACACTGATAGATTAAGAAAGTTCTGTGGAGAGTAAAGTCATGTCTAGTTATAAGGAGTCAAACACTGATATATTAAGAAAGGTCTATGGTGAGTTAAGTAATGTCTAGTTATCAGGGGTCAAACAATGCTAAATAAGGATACCATCGCGAGTTAACAGTCGTGTCGTGTCTTTAACAAAATCATATACAGAGGAATTAACAACTATGAGCATTTATGAACGTTTTAAAGACGATGTTGATTATTTTGCTAAAATGTATATTAAATTGACATACCGTGTTCGTTCGTGCCTCTCGGAGATATATCTCTGTAAGACTCGATAACTGAATTCGTACAGGAAATATTTTGAGTGTTTTCCGTGACTCACAACTTCCCTTTGTGGCTGTATGCCTTCAGTAAGTTAATAAGTTTTGTTTTAAAGCCGCTTTTTGCAGTATTTCACTTATATCAAAGCGCGTCGCCTTGATGGTAAGGAACCAAGAAGTGATGGAAGTCTCGGACGTTTACCGTTTTGTTGAAACCCACAAGACGGATTTGGTACTGACAAACCAATAACCTTAATCAGGGTGGATTCGAACCCACGATATACAAATTCAAGGTTACTATAAAAACCAGCAAGAAACATACCATCTAAAACAAACCTCATTAAGAAATCCATACATAGGAAATATTCAATATGAAAAAACTATACTATCGTGATCATCCACATACCATTATTCCGGCGAATATGGTATTCGACCCAATGCTCATCGGATCCTGGCACGGTTAAGGGACGCAACCTTTTGACAGTGACTTGCGTCGTGAAAGGTGACTTTGTCTCCCGTTCACCGACGTAATTAGAACATTTACTCTCAGGCAGGAGGGATGACTTCGACTTTCCGATGGTTAACTTCCGATGGTCGAGCAATTTTCCTGCAGCATCAGCCCCTTGCGTCTACATTTCAAAGCCCCTGAGGTATAATGAGCATGCTCTTTCTACGACTTCATACGACTCAAAAGCTTTTTGATCAAAGTTACAACATTCACGGCCTCAATAAAGCTATCAAAAGCTTTCATGGTAGATTTGTGGGGGACATGTCCAAAATGACAAAAATGATGTCCGATGCAGTTCCTTACTTTGACTTGTACCATTTGTTCCCGTTTTTTTCGGGTGAACACTTGACTTGACTTTGCATCTACTTTTGACGGGTGCCAACGGAAGGGAAGAATAGGTTGACTTCTTCGCGAGGCCCTGGTATGGTCACTGTTTAATAATGATTCATAAACACATGCTCATGAGATGGTCGGAAACGTACAATCGACTCTGCTTTCAGCAGAGATTTCCTATTACTATCGAAAGGGTTTTGTCGCTTTCATATACATTAGCAAGTATTGAAGTACAAACAATACAAAGGTCATGAATAAAAAAGAATTGCAACAAAGATTATTTCCTGTATGAAAATAAACAGTTTATAGATCTTCTTTTGTGTTTACGACCTTGGGTCGACATGAACGCTCTTGTATAGACTTACTTCCTTGTAATGAAACATGTTACAATCGTGAACTCTGTAATTCGCGCGTTATTGTTTTTGTGTCATTTTCCGTTCCGCATCTATTTGAACAGTACATGTACCAGGTCCTGCATTTCATGTACACTCAAGTGGGTACTACTGATCTCGCTAGTCCGGAAACACCGACGGACATTGCCGATTAGGGACGTATACATATAGTTACATATACTTATTATGGGCATTCATTGCATGACCTGGGGCGGTCGAGTAGCCTAGTGGTTAAAGCGTTCGCTCGTCACGCCGAAGACCCGGGTTCGATTCCCGACATCGGTACAATGAGTGAAGCCCATTTCTGGTGTCCCCCGCCGTGATATTGCTGGGATATTGCAAAAAGCGGCGTAAAACCAAACTCACTTACTCATTGCATGACCTTGTTCATATTACAACTGCAGCGGTTGTTTAGTTAAGTCGACGCGATCAAGCCCTTCTCCTGTTACCTCCTGTGCAATATAATCTGACGGATGTGACAGTAAACCAAAATGTCACCCCTGGCAATTCGGCTATTGGTCAGAGTGTACATGTGCAGAACATGGGCCTGTAGCAATGTGGGCCGCGACAAATAGCATTCGAAGTATTATCATCTATCATGGCTACTACATACATGTGTATGTTTGCAATATGAAAACTTGTCCCTGTAAACATAATTGTGAAGAACCTCATTCCTGTCAATAATTGGGCCGTCAATAGGAGAATGGCTGTGCGATCCTTACCCGCGAACAGTGGAATGATGACATGTATGTTTCGTTCGTTCTGGCCTCTATGCAAGTGAGACAGGTTTTGCTTTCCTTGTATCTATAAAAGAATATACATTTCTGAAAGCGACAACTACGACTTGACTTTGTGTTTGAGGAAACAGCAACATAGGCAGTGTTAATATGCATAACATACAAGGTGACAGAGGAAGGAGGTCAAACATCACATGACTCCTAATGATCCTTAACGTCCTCAACACGAGCACTGCGTCATCTGTTACCTTAAGGCAGAACAGAAGAAAAGACCTTTATTACTCCCAAGGCTATCTGTACATAGCATGTTGAGGATTTACAGATTAGAGTAATAATGGCTGCCAAATTTCTTTGAATGTATCCATTACTTAGTCAATTTAACAATAGTTGACAAGTTTATTTATTTAACATATGATTGTTACATTGAAAAAGCTTGATAAGTTTACGCATTGTGGATGGACAGGGAAGTTTATCCGTATGCATTCAAACATAAATGAAATTCGTCAGCAATGTCCTCACTATTACATAGAGTGCTTTTCTCATCCCCTAAGAGTGTATTGTGCAATCTTCCACATACGATGGGTAATAATGACAAGATGTTCAGAACAATAACAAAGATATTCATAGTAGTTTGGGGTAAGTATGTTTCCAGTGCCATGTTATCATTTATGGCTTTGTAGAATATCGCTTTGCCTGATGAAATATTGAAATATCAGTCCCAATTGAGTTCCAATTTTGTAAAAATGTTTAACAAACATAAACCACCTTTGGCGCATATTTTAGCAGTGAAATTATTATACACAATATTAAAAACTAAGAGTGATATTTTTGTAAATTTTCCAGATAAAATTCTTGCCCAGAAAGTAATGACTCTTAACATGGCTGTAATGTACAAGGGTTTGTGACACTATGTCATGTTTCGGGTCAAATGTGTCCATAAACTTAAAATAGCAATAACGACAACTTAGCTCGTCATCGGCAGTAAATATAAAAGCGACAAAACCATTTCAATAATCATAAGACATCTACCGGAGGAACCGTTAGGAATTTCATGTAAATATGCATCACATACAGCGTTACAGATGAATGTTAAGTGAGTGAGTTGGGTTTAACGCGCTGTTAACAGTATTCCAGTTGTATCACGGCGTGTGTGGGAGGAAAGCCCTGAGTGATGCAGGTCTCAGACATTTACCATTTCGGTGAAACCCACGAGCACGGGTTTGGTGCTGATAAACCTAGAAACATAATCGGGGCGAACCGGGATTTGAACCCACAATCATAGGTTTCTGGCGTGCCCAAGGGACGCAACTCTGCACAGGGAATCGCGGCGCCTAAGACGACAGGGCCACCCGTGCCCCCGGTGAATGTTAAGAAGGAAGAGGGTTAAATATTACAAATGACCCCTGATAATCCTTACAGGTGTTCAAATTCGCCACCGTTTAACTTTGGTATGCATGACGTTCCAACCCACGCAAAAAAAAAGTGAACAAAGCAATACAATATTATCATATTTGTTTTATTTATTTAGACAAAGGCAACGAAACTGAAAAAAAAGATATACAAACGTTTTATATTACTTTGGTGGGCATCAAACTCCCTTTTACACAGAACATATCAATGAAATATAAAAAATATAATGCATGTGTGCCATTCATAATAACTGTGTGAATTCTTAAACTTTTTCTTAAGGCTATAGATGTTAATCTAAAGCCAACTATAAACACATTTTTTAGGAAAAGTGTACAATGTACAGTGTGTTGATAGCTTGATATTCATGCTCACACAAAGATGTATAAAATTCAACGTCTGCGTGAAATGTTATCTAAATAAGTTTATTTGAACGCACAATGCAACATAAGTTTGAGGATAAAAACCATCAAATAAAAGGATATAATAATATAATCTCAAAAGTGGAAGAAATTACTAAAGGTGTATCGAAGAAACAAAACAAACATAAACGTTATTGAATAAACTAAAACACAAACATATCTTATAAGTAATGATATTAATACATGACATGAGAGATTCATTTACATCATACAGTATAAATAAGCAAAAAGTAGTGGTTTAATGACTTGAGTCAAGTTTGCTGGGATGCCATTTGGCAGGGTCAAACCGCATTTAAGAAAACACGTCCTACTTCGATGTGAGTGAGTTGGTCGTGTTTCCCTGCTTTCAATAGTATGTTGGTTATATCACGGCGCCTCAGATTAGGGAGAAAGCCAAAGTGATGTATACCACTGTGGTGAAACCCATGAGCACGGATATGGTCCTGGCAAACCAAGAATCAAAGTCTAGGATTTCTGACACGCCCAATTCATTGTTTTGTTTCAGACACAAACACACAGACACGAATTATGTGAAACAGTCAATAAAAATATATATAGAATACAATTAATGGAAAACAAGAAATATTATCCCCTCAAGTCTATACATTAATAGGGGTCTGTCGGTTAGTCTAGTGGTTAAAGCGTTCGCTCGTCACGCCGAAGACCCGGGTTCGATTCCTGACGTGGGTACAATGAGTGAAGCCCATTTCTGGTGTCCCCCGCCGTGATATTGCTGGAATATTGCTAAAAGCGGCCTAAAGCCATACTCACTCACTCACTATACATTAATAGGAACTTGATTAAAAAAAATTATCATACAGAACCAGAACATAAAATGTTGATTTTCTCATTAATTATCTGTCGACCATCAAGTATTCATGGTTTATGTTTTTGTTTTTAAAAGTCTTTGATGGGTTTTCACATGCAAAAAGAAACTCTTATGCAATAACATTTACTATCCCCAGCATGTCATTGTAAATAAAAGCGACAAAACCCTTTCCACATTCATAAGAAATCTCTGCCCAAAACGATTGTACGAATCCGACTTAAGAACAACTAAATGTTCCGTATTTGAAATATGTCTGCTGTGTGTATCTCTACTCGTCATAAGTGAACCTGTATATCAGACCTAGGCATAAAAAAGGAAATTTGTCCAATCTAGAAAAGAGTAACAATACATGTTTATTACAACAAACATTACTAAAACAGAATTAAAAAAAGGCCAAAGGTTCAGCTTGAAACAAAACCATCGCTGTACATAATCACGTATGTGGCATTGACCTAGTACCATAAATGCCATCTCTCATCTCTCATGAAATATGCTATTTCCCCTTCCATGGTCCTCTCAGGTACTCCATCATAATATCATGGCAAAATCTGTATTGTTCCTGAAAAAAACGAAGTGCATTTGTTATATATTATTGTAAAAAATAAGAAATTCGAGTTTCTATATATACAAGAAAGGTTCGAGTGCTATGCCTCTGTCCATTAACAAAGTATAACATATGCCACTTCTAAATCCCCATCAAAGAAAATTATGTAAGAAAAATTATTAATTTGAAAATATTTAGACAAACTCAGAATATAACGTTTCAGCACGTGTAACGTACAGATATATACAGGTCAAAATTAATCAAAGAAGCCCCAATTCTTCCATGTGTCTATAGTTAATCTGTAATCGGGTGTTCTTTAACTTCTTTTGAGTAGTATATAACACGAACACTAGTACTCACTTGGGAGTTACAAACAACAATTGGATACAAACAGCCTAAAACAAAAACAACTCCACTCTCATTGTCTATTGTGCGATATATTTTAACGCAATATACATTGTGAGAATGGAATGGATTAGTGATCACGCCCCTTCATTGTCCTTCGTTGGAGACTGCTTTCCCTTCAACCAAAACGCAGGGAATTACATCAACGAACCCCACACGGGTGACAGAAGAATACTTCTCATCGGAAACGGATTATTTTGGCATGTATTGTCTTGCATATCAGGGATACAGTAAACTACGATTATAACGAACACGCTTATAACGAACTGACGGGTATAACGAACTTACTTTTTTGGTCCCGACTATTTGCTGTAGCTATGCTGTATATATGTTTATAACGAACTACGGTTATTACGAACTAAAATTAGTAATCCCTTTGAGTTCGTTATAACCGTAGTTTACTGTACTTCTCTTTGGGTGACCTTTACGTGACGGTTCTAGAAAATAAACCTATTACCATGGTGGGTATAACCTGCGGCCGGACATTGCGAGTGGTTCTGATGGCCCGGTCGACTGACACAAGCTGTGCAGTGAGGACATGTTCTTGTATAGAGCTGACCACAGAGAACAGCCCGCACCGAGTTGCTCCATCCCTGAAAAACAATCACAAGAACTATGTGTATTGTGAAGTACAGTGGAAGTTGTTTTGTTCGTTTGCTTTTTGTTTAACGCCGCTTTCAGCAATATTCCAGCTATATGATGGCGGTCTGTCGTGTTTGGACCAGGTAGTCAAGAGATTTACATCATGAGCATCGGTCTACAAATGTTTACCATGTTTACCTGCACTGACCCAGGACAGGGGCCGTGTTCTAACCCCATGTGTACCTGCACTGACCCAGGACACGGGCCGTGTTTTAACTCCATGTGTACCTGCACTGACCCAGGACAGGGGCCGTGTTCTAACCCCATGTGTACCTGCACTGACCCAGGACAGGGGCCGTGTTCTAACCCCATGTGTACCTGCACTGACCCAGGACAGGGCCGTGTTCTAACACTCTGTGTACCTGCACTGACCCAGGACAGGGGCCGTGTTCTAACCCCATGTTTACCTGCACTGACCCAGGACAGGGGCCGTGTTTTAACATCATGTTTACCTGCACTGACCCAGGGCAGGGGCCGCGTTCTAACACCATGTGTACCTGCACTGACCCAGGACAGGGGCCGTGTTCTAACACCCTGTTTACCTGCACTGACCCAGGACAGGGCCGTGTTTTAACTCCATGTTTACCTGCACTGACCCGGGACAGGGGCCGTGTTCTAACCCCATGTGTACCTGCACTGACCCAGGATTGGGGCCGTGTTCTAACCCCATGTGTACCTGCACTGACCCAGGACACGGGCCGTGTTCTAACCCCATGTGTACCTGAACTGACCCAGGACAGGGGCCGTGTTCTAACCCCATGTGTACCTGCACTGACCCAGGACAGGGGCCGTGTTCTAACCCCATATGTACCTGCACTGACCCAGGACAGGGGCCGTGTTCTAACCCCATGTGTACCTGCACTGACCCAGGACAGGGGCCGTGTTCTAACCCCATGTGTACCTGCACTGACCCAGGACAGGGGCCACGTTCTAACATCATGTTTACCTGCACTGACCCAGGACAGGGGCCGTGTTCTAACACCATGTTTACCTGCACTGACCCAGGACAGGGGCCGTGTTCTAACACCATGTGTACCTGCACTGACCAAGGACAGGGGCCGTGTTCTAACATCATGTTTACCTGCACTGACCCAGGACAGGGCCGTGTTCTAACCCCATGTTTACCTGCACTGACCCAGGACAGGGGCCGTGTTCTAACACCATGTTTACCTGCACTGACCCGGGACAGGGGCCGTGTTCTAACATCATGTTTACCTGCACTGACCCAGGACAGGGGCCGTGTTCTAACCCCATGTTTACCTGCACTGACCCAGGACAGGGGCCGTGTTCTAACACCATGTTTACCTGCAATGACCCAGGACAGGGGCCGTGTTCTAACACCCTGTTTACCTGCACTGACCCAGGACAGGGGCCGTGTTTTAACTCCATGTTTACCTGCACTGACCCAGGACAGGGGCCGTGTTCTAACCCCATGTGTACCTGCACTGACCCAGGATTGGGTTGTGTTCTGACATGATGTTTACCTGCACTGACCCAGGACAGGGGCCGCGTTCTAACACCATGTGTACCTGCACTGACCCAGGACAGGGCCGTGTTCTAACCCCATGTGTACCTGCACTGACCCGGGACAGGGGCCGCGTTCTAACACCATGTGTACCTGCACTGACCCAGGACAGGGGCCGTGTTCTAACCCCATGTGTACCTGCACTGACCCAGGACAGGGGCCGTGTTCTAACCCCATGTGTACCTGCACTGACCCAGGACAGGGGCCGTGTTCTAACCCCATGTGTACCTGCACTGACCCAGGACAGGGCCGCGTTCTAACCCCATGTTTACCTGCACTGACCCAGGACAGGGCCGTGTTCTAACACCATGTTTACCTGCACTGACCCAGGATTGGGTTGTGTTCTAACATCATGTTTACCTGCACTGACCCAGGACAGGGCCGTGTTTTAACACCATGTTTACCTGCACTGACCCAGGACAGGGGCCGCGTTCTAACACCATATTTACCTGCACTACCCAGGACAGGGCCGTGTTCTAACCCCATGTTTACCTGCACTGACCCAGGACAGGGGCCGCGTTCTAACACCATGTTTACCTGCACTGACCCAGGACAGGGGCCGCGTTCTAACACCCTGTTTACCTGCACTGACCCAGGACAGGGGCCGCGTTCTAACACCATGTTTACCTGCACTGACCCAGGACAGGGCCGTGTTCTAACCCCATGTTTACCTGCAGTGACCCAGGACAGGGGCCGCGTTCTAACATCATGTTTACCTGCACGGAACCAGGACCAGGGCCGCGTTCTAACCCCATGTTTACCTGCACTGACCCAGGATAGAGGCCGTGTCTAACATCATGTTTACCTGCACTGACCCAGGACAGGGCCGCGTTCTAACCCCATGTTTACCTGCACTGACCCAGGACAGGGCCGCGTTCTAACCCCATGTTTACCTGCACTGAACCAGGATAGAGGCCGTGTCTAACATCATGTTTACCTGCACTGACCCAGGACAGGGCCGCGTTCTAACACCATGTTTACCTGCACTGAACCAGGATAGGGGCCGTGCTGGAGTTCCACTGTCTGATGTAATCCAAGAGAGTAAGGAAATGAACAGAGCTGCGAGGAAGATCGGTCGATTTCCAAGAATCTGCTCGAAACAGAGTTATCTCCCTTGTTTCATTTGTACCCTGTCAGAGGAGATAAACGTTTCCTTAAAGGTTATACAGGTGCACATATATTTACATGGTCAACTTAATGGTATATTTTTGGATTTTTTTAAGAAACGAAGGCATTATCAAACTTTATTTACAGATGTTCGAAAGTGACGAGCATGAATATGAAATTTATTTTCCTACTTATTGAAAACATTTTTTTCACCTTTTTTAACAGGCTATTGTAACTGGTGGCCAGAACGGTCCGGTTCACCTTTAAAAACGCGTGGTATGCGTGGTTAGATCGACTCAAGAGGAGGCTCAAGTAGCCTGTGACTCTGCAGTAAAGATGCTTTACTATCTTGCAATCAAGCATCTTCATCTTGCAATGGGGGGCACGGGTGGCCCAGTCGTCTAAGGCGCCGCGATTCGTTGTGCAGAGTTGCATCCCTTGGACACGCCAGAAACCTATGATTGTGGGTTCGAATCCCGGTTCGCCCCAATTATGTTTCTAGGTTTGTCAGCACCATACACGTGCTCGTGGGTTTCACCGAAGTGGTAAACGTCTAAGACCTGCATCATTTCGGGCTTTCCTCCCACATTAAGCTGACACGCCGTGATATAACTGGAATACTGTTAAAAGCGGCGTTAAACCCAACTCACTCACTCACTCACTCATCTTGCAATGGCCTTACCTTCATTGAATACTTGTAAACCTCTGTTCGAAATCCAGGGTGATTTTGACGCTTGATGAACGATACAGCAAAGGGCCCATAATTGCCTGGCTTGCCCTCTTCAGCCCAATACACAGCACAGTCTCCCTGTCAATACATCATAAAGTATCATAACCATGGCTAGCATTGTTCTGGTTTCCTCCTCTGTGATTAGGAGGAGGCACATGAATATAATTTGACGTTCCCAGTGGATCTTAAATGGCGCTTATCATACCTTTACTGAGATGCGAGAAATGTAATGTATGTCGTCTTATCAGCGACAGGGGGGTTAACGTCGCATTCAAGATTATTGCACTTTTATAGCGGCGTTCATGCACGTGTGTGTGGCTACTTGTACTATTCCCGACTAATGCCGATTATATAGCGCTTGCCTAAAGAGATACCCCACTCAGACGCAGTGTACTGAATCCGAGCAGACCAGTGACAACAAGTACCGTATTTTGTTATGACGCAGCTGGGCATCGAACAACCTGCCTCCCGCTCTGCGGGTAAACCCTCTATCTACTAGACCACGGAAGCAGTCTAGTCATTTCATGATCACGCATTACTATCCTACGATTAAGATTAAATAAAGCGGCAATGCCCTTTACATAATCATAGGAAATATCGGATAAAGGTAGTCTCCATTGTACGATTCCGACTGTACCATAAGCGTTACTAAAAATTACTGACAAAATACCTATCCTATACCAACGTAAAACCCATACCGATGCATTCTCTTTATAATCATCCAGTACCACAATGCCTGAGATGCGGTAGTCGTGGATGAGGCGCCAGATGTCCACCACTGTAGATGGCATGGGTGCCTGGGTCAAGATGAAGGCACGTTGCTTCTTGTAGGACTGGACACACAAATATAGAGCAATATTTCGGAGAAACAAAACCAAGAAGAAATATTAAATCAACGTTTTTTTTATGAAATACATTTTTCTGCTTCATCGAGGATGATTTTTCTTTCTATGCAGTTACATGTATGTATGAGTCTGTTGGACGATTCAGGCTACATCATGAGCATGTGCTTATGAACCAATATCAAATAGACAGTGAAAAGGTCAGCGTATCCTGCCACACCAGTGCACATGCCACAAACACATGCAAAGGCAAGTCAAGAGTTTACCTGACCAAACGCGAGAACATAAACAAGGAAATGCATCGGTCATTTTGGTCACTGATGCGTCAAATGTGGAAGAAGGGTATAGCGAATACTTATTGTGGTATTTGGATCTACAAAAACCAATCTATTGAAACGCACAAACATGTTTCTAAGCACCAGAAGAAGACATTTGGTCCCTACTTCGGCTGATATGTAACCATGTGGTGATGTATCGACTCCTAGGTAGACCTCCGTTTTAAATAACTGTTTAATGTGTCAAGAGGTCTGTCAGTATCGTGACGCACTGTCATCAGAGGAAAGCTTGTTTGTAAGAGATCAAGGTGAGGTGAGGTGAAATTGGGTTTAACGTCGCGTCCAAAATTATTGCACATATATAGCGACGTGCATGTACGTGTATGTGTTTGTGTGGCTGCTTGTACTAGTCCGGACTGATGCCGATTTATAGTGCTAGCTCACTGAGATACCATGCCGCAGTTTAACATGAATACCCCACTCAGACACGTATACTAACTCTGAGCCGACCAGTCCTTGCTTTAACCCCTTAATGCCCCTTAAAGCGCCAGACAGGGTAACAACAAGTATCATCTTTTAACGTCGAACCCCGGACTTCCGCTCTCCGGGTGGACGCTCTACCACTAGACCACGGAGGCGGTCTTGTTTGTAAGAAATCAAATAAGTTAAACAGTATTACCGGTACGAAAACCGCATTAATGTAATCTGTTTGGCCTTCCACTTCAGTTGTCAGGAGAGGTCGATCACTGTCATCTGTGAAAGAATCATATTTCTGAGAAATATGTTGCAAATTTTTAATGCACCCAGGTAAAGTATTGTAGAGTGTTGTGCTGGGCATGATAGAATGACTTCGGTGTAGGACCACACAAGAGGATATAGTAATCCAATAAGCAGCTGTTAAAATGTTAGATGACTTTCTACTGTTGTTATAAAATTAGATCCCGAAAACATAGGTGCCCGCTCGCCAGACAAACCGGCAAACCGATATCAACGTCACATGGAGGCAATAGATAAAAGCATCACCTGTCTGGACATCTGCCAGTTAGCAGATCTCACCATCAGGACCCTCAGTGTTCAGAGAGTGAGTCATACAATTAAAATTATGTAAGCAACATTACATTGTTACATTATGTTAAAGTGTGTTAGCTTGTACTAGCCCGCACTAATGCCGGCTGAATAATGCTATCCCACTGAGATACCATGGTGTAGTTTTACATGGACACCCCACACAGACACAGTATACGGACTCCGAGCCGACCAGTCCTTGTGTTATTCCTTAATAGGCAGGGTAATAACTATGGAGGCAATATAAAAGTGATTAAACAAACAAAACCTATATACAAATATTGTTGATACATTTCGAAAGTTAAATGAACATGTAAAACAATAATACCTGGGTATAGTGACTGTCTCCTATTTTTCTGAATGTTTTCAGCATAGCGGGCTACAGTTGCAGTGACTGCAGGTCCTGGGCAGCTGTTCAGTTTCTGAAAAATAGTTATCAAGTACCCATAGCACAAGTAACCATCATAGCTTATTGTATTTCGAGTCCATTTTGGGCCACCGTGTATCACGGGCGTAGCACATATAATCTTCCCGAGACAAAGGAGTTCACTTACTATAAAAGTTCAGTTTTGCCTCAGGAAGATGAGCAGATATCGTATTAAGCAGACATGCAGCTGATATTACATGTAAATTTCTGTTCAAAGCGGCATTAAACGAATGTATCACACTTTCTTTCGTTTTCAGAACTACAAACCTCAAATCTTGCCGCCATGCCATTGTTCCCGTCAGTATCTCTCTGTTGTTGCTTGTAAACGTTGCCAAACTCTGCTGTTGTTACTGCCGGCGTCGTGTACGCCAGAGCGTCCAGCACACAGTCGTGAAGAAACACATACTGGACCTAACGGCCAGACAAATACAATTACTGATGTTAAGTACTGCAAATTCGTGTCGTCACCTGCACACCACAACAGTTAGTCGATGATCTTGGCAGTGTTTATTGTTCCTTGTTATATTTAAATATAAAATAAACGCCAGAGAATAACCAACCTCGATTATCTGACGAAACAGAATCTGTTTGGTGTAAAAGGCAAATAGAGGTTAAAAATTATGAATGGATCACGGATTGTCAGTAATGGCACCACGTGTTCGTGAAGAGTGTAAGCATGTCAAATTCCAAAGTTGCCTTAAAGTTATATTGTAGATAGAACAGTGTGATGCTTTTCTTTTTTTTGTAATCTGATCAGGCACGAGTTTATGTCAAAAGTTACAGCTAGAGTTGCGGAAGGTAAAGCTCTTGACAGATATACAACTGTGACCATTCCATCATGGAATGTAATTATTACCTTTGTTTGGACCATCTTAAGCCGCTGCGTCCTTAGTTTCCACACGCATGCGTACACATCGACGCTTCCCTGCTCTTCCGCTTCCTGTAGCAGATAGTCCAGGGAGATGAGTGTCCCTGTGCGTCCCACTCCCGCGCTGGACAGGGACAACAAAAGTGGGTCGTTACTGTGATGTCAGCGTTGTAGGGGCCCGCATTATTATTACATCAGCGTGTCAGCAAAGGTAGAATGAACACTCGGAGGCGTTTACCACAACCCACGAGCCAAGGTATAGTGCTGACAGACATATACGACCATAAAGTGGATCTTGAATTCGAATCACCGCCTGGCGTACACTGACTCGCTAAGGGGGGCAACTCAGCATATAACATCATTGCACTTGCGGGGGACACCAGGAATGGGCTTCACACATTGTACCCATGTCAGGAATCGAACCCGGGTCTTCGGCGTGACGAGCGAACGCTTTAACCACTAGGCTACCCGACCGCACCTCATTGCACTTGAAAACGAATTCACTTAGGAATTGTTAGTATCTTTACATGCATCCGCATCCGTAGTCTAGTGGGTGGAGCATCTGCCCGAGAGTGGATGGAGATGGGTTGATCCCCAGGCCCGTCATACCAAGGGACGTCAAAAGATGGTACTTGTTGCTACCCTGTCTGGCGTTCAGAATTAAGGGGATAATACACTGACTGGTCGGTCAGTATAATGTGTTTGGGTGTGATGCACTATAAAGCCGCCATTAGTCAAAGTAGAAGTCCTGGAACCAGTAGCATCACACTCATCACACGTGCAATATACGTCGCTGTATAACTGCTATAGTCTTGAACGCAACGTTAAACCCCATTTCATTTATAAAACGCTTTCAGTGAACATCCTTTCAAATATACGACTCTATGATGGCTGATGGAGATCAAGGGTAGATTGAGATAGTGTGAGTGAGTGAGTTGGGTTTAACGCCGCTTTTAACAGTATTCCAGTTATATCACGGCGTGTCAGCTTAATGTGGGAGGAAAGCCCGAAGTGATGCAGGTCTCAGACGTTTACCACTTCGGTGAAACCCACGAGCACGGGTATGGTGCTGACAAACCTAGAAACATAATTGGGGCGAACCGGGATTCGAACCCACAATCATAGGTTTCTGGCGTGCCCAAGGGACGCAACCCTGCACAGCGAATCGCGGCGCCTTAGACGACTGGGCCACCCGTGCCCCAAGTTTGAGATAGGAAACGGTCATGTTGACCAATGTTGACCTACCTGCAATGAACGACAGTTGGTCCCTTGTCAAAATCACAGAATTCTCGAACAGTGTTTCGCAACATTACAAGCGACATGGGGTACTTGGGGACGTCTTTGTCAGGCCAAACAGTGTAATGGATGTGCTTCACTTGCTTAGAAACGCCATGTTTCTGAAAGCAAAAGTACATCATCATCATAATCATCATCATCATCACTGTCATTACTATTTATTATTACCTTTTAGTAACATACAACAATTCTGTCACCCTTGTAACAATGACGCATTAAGTCATATGTATCGTCAAGGTGCAAGTGTGGAGCATTCTACGTCATATTACAGAAATACTGTTCAAAGCAGTGTTAACCAATTCAGTCATGAAAAGGGGTATTAAAGGAGTCATCAGGGAGGTGGTTTTGAACTTATCTGCGTATATGTGTAGAATAAAAGAGAAATGGTCCTCTTACAAATCCTAATGAGCGACACAGAGGAAAAAGTTAAAGATTTGTTATTGTATTTGAACATGTTTTGTTAAAAGAGGCATGATACAGTGAGAAAGCCCTTAACGGCACAAAAAAAATCGTATATGGGGTAGACGGTATTATATTATGTTCTAATTTGTTGTTTTTTGTTTAAGGCCGCACTGAGCAATATTCAAGCTATATTACAGCGGTCTGTAAATCATCGAATCTGGACCTGACAATCCAGTGACTGATATCATGAGCATAGATATAGGCAAAAAGGATAATGAAGACAGGCATCAACCAAGTTAGCGATCCTGACCACCCGATCCCGTTAGTCGCCCTTGCGACAAGCATGGGTTGCTTAAGACCAGTTCTAACCCGGATCTTCATGGGGGAGAAAAGCATGGGTTGCTGAAGACCAATAATTATTATAACCCGTATCTTCACGGGTGAGACAAGCATGGGTTGCTGCAGACCATTTCTAACCCGTTTCATGGGTGAGACAAGCATGGGTTGCTGCAGACCAATTCTAACCCGGATCTTCACGGGTGAGACAAGCAAGGGTTCCTGCAGACCAATTCTAACCTTCACGGGGGAAACGGTATTTAAGGATTGTATGACTCACTCTCTGAACACTGAGGGTCCTGATGGTGAGATCCGCTAACTGGCAGATGTCCAGACAGGTGATGCTCCAATCTCCAAACTCAGACACGCCCTTGTCAGGCCAGTACTGATGACATCTCTCCTATAACACAAAACACAGTACAGCAATACGTACAGGTCTCTACACAAACATGGCTGTTTGGGCGTTGCTGAGGCAGGGGCGTTAAAGGCTCATTACATATGTGTGTTATACCTCCTGGCAGGAAACAGTCCATTTTTCGGGAACACTAATATCATCACTGTTTGATAGTGGTTCATAAAGACATGATTATATTCGTACTTTTAGCAGAGATTCCTTATGATAATAGAAAGGATTTTGTCGATTATAGCTATCAATATGTGTTTTAGCTCACCCTTCCATCTTCCATGACGTTGGCCAGCATGACGATGGCAGGACATTGGTTCTCCCACACCATCTCCCAGAAGTCAGTCACTGTGCTGGGTAAGGGGCCTGCAAATGTATCAGTTTCATATTATTTACATAAGCAATCATTAATTAATTCCCATTCAGTAGTTTTGCACATGTTTTGAAAAGAGTGAGTGAGAGAGTTGGGTTTAACGCCGCTTTTAACAGTATTCCAGTTATATCACGGCGAGTCAGCTTAATCTGGGAGGAGAGCCCGAAGTGATGCAGGTCTCAGACGCCTAGCACTTCGGTGAAACCCACGAGCATGGGTATGGTGCTGACAAACCTAGAAACATAATCGGGGCGTTCGGGGATTGGAACCCACAATCAGGTTTCTGGCGTGGCCAAGGGACGCAACTCTGCGCAGCGAATCGCGGCGCCTTAGACGGCTAGGCCACCCGTGCCCCTTGTTGGAAAAAGATTTTAAAACATTTTTATGGATGCAACAACATGCAATGTCTGATTGATACGAGTATATACATTTCATTTCAATATTATTCACCAACCTTGAGCGGCGATGTACTGTCGCTTATTTGAAGGACCCTGTGTAGAAACGAAATGAAACTTGACACTTGGATGGATATAAATTATTAAAACATTTTCAAAGTTGAATATAAGCAACAGTGTTGCATCTATATATGTTTTACCAGTAGAGAGTAGGCCTTACGTTAATGTAGCTGGCGTTGATATACCCTCCCATGGTGCTCTTGGTTTTCAAGCATACTCGGCTGTGGTCATCTGGAACATTCAAAGAGGATTCCATGGCCTGTTACCAATTCACAACGTTTATATTTCATCTATTCCATATTAAGATCTATGCATAAAGTTTTATGATGTCCAAAACTATCCAAAAGACTGTATGTGTAAACGTACAAATAAATCTGCTCGACTGTCAAGAGCCCGCACCGGTTCGTCTCAACCCGACTGGAATATTTGAGTAGAACTTATACGTATACCTACATGGGTATATTCCCTTGAACCTGTTCTTGACATTGTTTTCTGGGATAAGCGCAACATTATGAGAGGCTGAGAGCCCTTGGGGGAACTCCTGAAATATATAATTAGAGAAATACATGTAGGTAATATAATCCCTTTAGGATTCTAGTGCGGAACAGACCCCCGGTTCCCGTGAATAATGAATATCAGAGGAGCCGACTAATGAAGACGGGGCGTTTACGTTGGGAACATGATCTTGTGCCAAGGTATCCCAACGATGTGGACGTTTGCTCATGCTATCAACCACTGGTCTGTCCACACTGGTTTATTTACAGGTCGCCGTTGTCATAATGTCAATGTCAAAGCAGTCCAATAGGAATGCGAGAACATCGGAATGGACATTATTTTCAGATAACTGAGTTGGGAATGCGAGAGCCGAGAGCCGAACGTGGAATTCACGGGTATTTCTATGATAATTACATCATGTTGATCAATTGCCTTCCAGAGCCGACAAGGAATATTAATATTGTTCATGGGGGTTCATTAAAGTCCTTAAAGCGAGTCTGTGAAAGGGTTTTTATGCCGCTTTTAGCAATTTTCAAGCACTATTATTATTGCTAGAATAATCAAAAGCTTCTTTTTTTTTTGAATCTAAGGAGTACGAGTGTGGTGCTGGCAAATCAAGGGTGATGACCACAGTCAATGCGGGATTCGAACCCATAGTAAGTTTCATAGGAAAGTCTGAGCGTATCTATGAATTTTAAAATACTAGAACACCATCAACTGAAACATACGCTGTATTCTTTGTCGAAAGTTTTTTTCTGGGATTTCTTCTGAGCAAGATAGGTTTGAAAATCCTTGACTGCGATCCGAGATGCAGAAATATAGATCTCGTTCTCTTCTATGGCCAATGCATCGTCTTGTTCAGTGGTTGCTTCTAGGATGAATAAGAGGAATTACATCCAACTACAAACCTTTGTGAAAAACATCAGATAAAATTCTAAAGGAAACTAATTGGATTGACATGTTAATATTAATTTACCGTTCATCCCATTGAAAAGATTTCGAAATTTTTACATGGATGTATATATTTTTCATCAAAACTTTTCCTATGATATTTCAATAATACTTCTTATGATATAGTCGGGATCGCCCAACGGACTTTTGACAGCGATTCTTCTGATTATGGAAAAAAAATTCTGCTTTTATTATTGATGTAGTTTCCCGAGGTTTACTACCTTTGTGTCTGTCCTTGGGGTCGTCCTCGCATCCGGCATCTGACATTTGGCCCACCTGGAGAGATTGTGCCATGAACATATGTAATAGAATTACACCACAAACAATGTCTTGATTTTAAATACTATCTGAATTTGCATTGACACTCATATATAAACACGTATATTAATGAGTTAAAGAGCTTGATTTAACGTGTCGCTGTGAACTTTATATCAGTCATATTGAGCGTGTCGGTTTGATGTAGCAAGAAAGTCCAAAATAACACAGTTGACAGTGGACAATTGACTTCCCTGTGCATGTGTTTATGACAGGTGCCAGATTACGCAGGTGGGGCAGGATAGTTCACCTTTTGCGAACACCTGGTGTCATCACTATTTGATAGTGATTCAAAAACACATTCTCATGATATTGTCGGTAAAGGTTCCTTGTGAATAAGGAAAGCGTTTTGTCGCTTTTATTCATATGCCGCTTTGGTTAAATCGTACAGCGCTAACAAGACTACGGATCATAATAAGTACGAATCACAGCTGCACACCAAACTGCCCCGCTTTCGGCCCTATGGAAGTTTGCAAATGTAACAGATGACATACTAGTAAGCACCACCATGGACATCGACTACACTCACCGTCGGATCTTCGAACATCAACGATTTCTTCAGAGTAACTCGCCTTTCTTTATGCTGAAAGAGACGTCCTCTCATTGAGACGTTCTTGCTGGACTCTCCTCCCGATGTTGTGGCCTTTGGGACGCCTTTAAGTGGAGACGGGCCGTTACGACTACTAAGACTTGTCTCCTGGGTATCGTCTTTGCCTGCTTGACGACGTGGGGCAGCGACGTCGCCGGCGTTGATAACTTCATGTAAATATAAAGCGTATACTAGATGACGCTTCCTTTATGGAATGATCGTGCAAATATTGAAGCCCTATATAGCAGAATATGTTTGTACGGAACAATGGCATTGACATGGCTTACACTATATACGACCATGTCGGCGATGAAATCATACGTCAGAGCTAAACTATACGTCAGTGACATACTGATGAAGAGAACATCTGAGAACATCTGGTTTATCTACATGCACATATATTGGGGTATCTCCAAGAATGTATGAGGCAATGCAGAAGTTTAGGCTCACATATTGATATTATGCACATTGCACCTAAGATTTTTACCACGGCTGATTTGTTTTTATCAATATGATTTTTCATGTTCCGATTCTATTTCCGATGTTATTAAAGTTATTTTTCATCCGATAAAACTAATACGAAAACCAACTTGAATAAATTGATATAACATTACACTTTCCCAAAATAGGAAAAGACGCATGCTCTCTGCATGTCTTTACATTCAACACTTATACGCCCATACGTATTGTACAACTGTTGACCCCAGTCATCTCGCCACATTTCTCTCTCTCTCTCTCTCTCTTTCTCTCTCTCTCCGCCGCTCTCTCTCTCTCTCTGTGCCGCTCTCTCCCTCTCTCTCCGCCGCTCTCCCCCCTCTCTATCTCTCTCTCCGCTCCTCTCTCCCTTTCCGCCGCTCTCCCTCTCTCCCCGCCGCTCTCTCCTCTCTCTCCGCCGCTCTCTCTCTTCGCTCCTCTCTCCCTCTCCGCCTCTCTCCCCGCCGTTCTCTGTCTCTCTCCGCCGCTCTCTCTCTCCGCCGCTCTCTCCGCCGCTCCCTCTCTCCGCCGCTCTCTCCCTCCCCGCCGCTCTTTCCCTCTCTCTCCGCCGCTCTCTCCCTCTCTCTCCTCCGCTCTCTCTCTCCCTCTCCGCCGCTCTCTCCCAACTATCTCTCTCTCTTCTGCTCTCTCTCTCTCTCCGCCGATCTCCCTTCCTCCCTATCTCTCTCTCTCTCTCTGAGAAGAAAAAGTGTTACCATGGCCATTTCTCCACCTCATGAACGGCTCCCTGAAACACGAGAAGGCACGTAATCATTTTTACAGTTACTGATCTGACCATTTCCATTACTTCTCTTTAAATTTCCGTCGACCGAAGCTGTGGACACGGTAACAATTACGATTAAATAGACACATTACACAATTTACAAAATAAATACAAGCGACAAACCCTTTCCATAATCATACGCAATATACACTGTCTCATTTAAATCCGATATATAAAATGTTAAACAATGTTGCAAAACGGATTTCGTGATTTGTCTATGGATATGATTAAAACACATGACAAGTATGAACGATCATGACATTACATCATGTTGCATGACCAAGTACACATTACCTGAGGAACAAGAAGGCCGCGGCTGCCATGACAACGATCACAAGTATGGCGAATGCAGCGACAACATGGAACATCAACTCGCTCTTGAAAAAATCAGCCTTTCGCAGCCCTATTTCTGCATGAGGAATAGGCAAATGCTTGACGAGGTCACACACAATACAGCCGATGTTGTGTCCAGGTAGAAGAATTCTTAATGGCTGGTTTGTTTCTTATTCAGAGAGAGTTGTGACGCTTACAACCCTCACAACCCTTACACACTTTACTCTCAACCCTGATATATACTGAACCGCAAAAGAAACGTCACCCCAAGTAACATTGCAGGACAATTTGTCATTTAAATATCTTTGTAATTATTGTCAAAGTTTCTAAAATTTAACATTACCTTGTCCGGAAAAATGAAATTTGATGATGAAAAAACAAAGCAGATGACAATAAAACCGATCGCCCAAACGCATCACGGCAACGGCCATGGTAACTCGATGCATATGAGTTCCGTGCAAATTGAAATGCACATAAGTTCCCCCATTTTTGGCCCTATAAAAATCCACCCAGATCGGATAACATTTTCGTTATTGAATTGTTACCACATGGCAAGAAATCGGCGACACCAAGCCCTTGGATGATTGCAAGCTTGACCCATATACAGGCTCCAGCAACGGCACCAGACCACCAACACTACAGATGACGGACCACGTAGTGGAAGACCAAGGGTCACCACCCGACGTCAGGATCGTCAGATCGTGCGACAGCATCTTCAAGATCGCTTTGTTGATACTCCGGAAAATGCTCGACAGACCATTGGGACACACCAGCGACACATAAGTGCGGACACTGTGCGTCGACGGTTGACGAGCAGACACTTCCACTGTCACAGGCCACACCGAGGACACATTCTGACACCACGTCATCGCCGGGACCGTCTTCAGTGGGCAACACAGCACCAGCATTGGCGCCACCAGCAGTGGAGAAGAGTCCCTTTCTCCGACGAAAGCCGTTACCGTATCTCAACAGCAGATGGCAGAGAGAGAGAGTGTGTGTGTCTGGCGACGCCGTGGGGAACGTTATTCGGATGCTTGTGTTGTTGAGAGAGACTCGTAGGGTGGTCCGAGCATCATGGTGTGGGGTGGAATTGGTCGGCCCTGTGGTCTTCCAGGACATCGGTCCCTGGAGCGGCAATGGTGTCACAGCAGCTCGGTACATTGATCTATTCTTGAGACCACACGCCATACCTCATTTGGCACGTCGCCGCAAACACGAGTTTCAGCATGATACCGCCCGTGCCCACACTGCGAGAGCAGCAAGAAATTTCCTCCAGCAGAATGGCATCAGAACCATGCAGTGGCCTGCCCTCAGTCCCGATTTAAATCACATTGAGCACCGGTGGGATGAGATTCAAAGACGGTTGAATGACGTCTGACCAAGGCCGACAACTTCAGCTGAACTGCGTCGGGCGTTCCTCAGAGTGTGGGCTCAAGTGCCTATGGCCTTCATCAACCGCCTCATCCCTTCCATGTATCGACGTTGCACGGCAGTCATCAATGCACATGGCGGACACACGAGATACTGACTTGCGATGCCATTTTCTCAGAGACTTGTGTTGTGTTTCACTTTAAGAACATTTGACTCTTTAATTTCAACCTTGATCATCAGTTGTGCCAAGTTTCATCTTTTTAATATGTCTCAAAGTAAGTTTACAGTTTTTGGAAGATTAAGGTTTCTAATATATATATCCATGGTGACGTTTCTTTTGCGGTTCAGTGTACGTTGTTGTTGCTATTTTAAAATACATCAACGTTGTGACATTGTCTTAAGCAATTTATTGAAAGTTAACATATCGTCATGTTGAATTACTGGTATATACATTTAAAACATACCACATGCACATTAAACAGACTTGTTCATATATGTGTCGAGAATGTAGTATTATGGATAGTAATGAAGGGGTCGGTGGGGTGGCCTAGTGGTTAAAGCGTTAGCTTGTCACGCTAGAGGCCCGGGTTCGATTCCCAACATGGCTACACTGTGTGAAGTCCATTTCTAGTCTCAATCCGTGATGTTACTGGAATCTTGCTAAAAGGGCGTAAAACCATACTCGCTTGCTCGTTCGAATGTAAAATGTATGATAAATATCAGGTGAACTAACCCTACGTATACACAAAACCATTTAAAGAGATTCGCATATATTGCAGGTCGTTAGTAACTGTCTAGTTTTCCTCCCTCCTGTATATTTGATATTGTACTCATCACGGGCAGTGATGGAATCACTCACTGTCTTGACACTGCGGACCAGTCCAGTCCACTCTGCACTTGCACCGCCCACTGACACCGTGACACGGGAACCGACAACCAAGACTGCACTGCAGGGTGCAGTTCTCCCCGTACGTACCACTTTCACATTCTGTTGCAATGAGATAATCACATTATTCTATCTTAAACTCCTTGCCAAAAGAAAGCATACAGCCATGTTTGATGGTGGCTAAAATGAAACAAACAAGAAATTATTATCGGATGGTGAGGTAGTTTGATACGGGTATCATAATTGTGATCATCTTCCCGAGGCAAGCGTGTCCACTAGTCTTTATCAACGTCTAGTTTTAACAAGACTTTGATAAAAAGGCTTGCGGGCGCCCTGGCCCCTGGACGATGAGTTGTCAGTTTCCAGTGTTTCTGTGACTTAACCGTTTTCGGCCTAGTGACGTTTTGATAACGTTTGTATCTTTTGGTCAAATCCAATAATCAAGTGTATGCTTTCTTTCGCCCGGCAGTATATCATTATTGCATTTTTGTTATTTATATATGAAAATTTGTTTACAGTGAATGTAGAAGCATGTTCTTTCATTTGCAGTATGCTTATCCCAAGTGCGGAGGAGCCTAAGACGTGCAACGGAGACTGTTATCAAATACATCTCTGATCTGTGAAATCATGCATTATGTCAACTAGTATGCATAGTACTTTCTGTGATGAAGATTTGTTGATTGAAAGTTTTTATCAGAAAAAGCATTCATTAAAAAAGCATTGGTAATATTGAGAGTTTGCGTATTTTCTAGATGAAGTGGACCCTTGAAGATCCGGGGTAGAATAGGTCTTCAGCAACCCGCGCTTGCTGTAAAAAAGCGACTATGCTTGTCGTAAGAGGCGAACAATGGGATCGGGTGGTCAGGCTTGCTGACTTGGTTGATGCATGTCATTGATCCCAATAACGTGGATCGATGCCCATGATGTTAATCACTGGATTGTCTGGTCCAGACTCGATTATTTACAGACCGCTGTCATATAGCTGGAATATTGCTGAGTACGGTGTAAAACGACAAACAAACGATAACAAAAACACAAAAACATGCATAATACTTCTCCAAATGTCAATTAATGCAGATTATGAATAACCAAGAAGTGCGGCGTTAAACAACTAACAAATAGATGGAGTGATGGTATAATTGATGAATGAATTTAAAAATAAAATACACCGAGTGAGAAGTCGAGGGACTGAAACAGATTTCCGTTTTATGAGGTATTGTTTTCATATTTAAAGTTAAAAGTAATTCCAATCGACAATAGGGGGCACGGGTGGACCAGTCGTCTAAGGCGCCGCGCTCCGTTGTGCAGAGTTGCGTCCCTTGGGCACGCCAAAAACCTTTGATTGTAGGTTCGAATCCCTGTTTGTCCCGTTTATGTTTCCGGGTTTGCCAGCACCATACCCGTGCTCGTGGGTTTCACCGAAGTGGTAAACGTCTAAGACCTGCACCACTTCGGTCTTTCCTCCAACATTAGGATGACACGCCGCGATATACTGTTTAAGGCGGCGTTAAACCCAACTCACCCACTCACTCCAATCGACAATAAATCTCCTTGGGTTTCAGAGAGGTTTCAATATGAGTTAGTGAGTGAGTTTGGTTTTTTGACACTCTTAGCAATATTCTCGCAATATCACGAGGGGGACACATGAAATGGGCTTAACACATTGTACCCATGTGGAGAATCGAACCCGGGCCTTCAGAGTGACGAATGTCAAAACCGTGTACCACTTTTGAGAAATCGATAAGCACGGGAATGGTGCTGACAAACCAAGGTTTTAAATAAAATCGCAGTAAAGTGGGTCGTCAGCCACAACCAAGGGACACAACTCTTCACAAGGAACAGAGAACCAATAATCTCAAAACAGAAAAGATGATCTTAATCCTCAAGCAAAACAATAAAATTTGAGTCATATATCTCGTTTCGAGGCTATACCGATTTCAGAACATTTCGGATCATAAATTGTACCATAAAAATTTCCATGAAAATAAATCAGCGCATTATACGTATATCCTGTACGTATCTAGTGGTCAATATAAGGGAGGCAACTTTTGGTACAGATTTTCACACAATGTTATAATTGTTTCCGTAATTAATTGAAGGAATCAATAACATGTAACATCAACGTTGCATACATTGGCATCCTGCCATAAGTGTACATTTGAGGAAGTATAACCGATTGATACCGGTTAAGAAAAAAAGAGTATAATGAATATGGTTAACAAAGCATCAAATACATGTAACGGTCACCTCTGTCGCATTTGGGTCCTTCCCATCCCGCTGTGCAATTGCATTCTCCATCAGTTGGTGTACAGGATGAGTTGAAACATCCCAGGCTGCATCTAGATCGGCAGTTGGAACCAAACTGTCCCTGGTCGCATTCTTAAAACATAATACAAAACACATCGAGAAGATTTTCCCTTTGCCATGTTTCAATGTCAGAGACATTCTACTGAATATAGACTCTATTGTTAGCTAATCTCAGAGGAAGTAGAAACGAAAACTTACCTTTCTCACACTTCCCGCCTCTCCATCCAGCTGAACAGCTTGACAAGCACCGACCATCAGTGCTGGAACAGTTCTTCTCAAGACAATGTGGGCACATCCTGTTACAGCTGTCTCCATAGAATCCCAGAGGGCACTCTGAAATACAACTTTCATTAACAAACAAGACAATGATTCGATTTAATTAATTGAATCAATTTATTGCAACAAAGTTCATGTTTCAAAAATACGATACCATCACGTAGACAGCGTATTAAATATATTGGTTACCATCATTAAATATTTTTATGACCAAACTGTTTCTGTCATGCCCTTCTACCTGTTGTGCATTTATTTCCTTTCCAACCCGGCCGACACGAACATGTCCCGTCTTCTTTGTCACACTCTCCGTTGACACATCCGTCTGAACAAGTTTCGTTGCAGTTTGACCCATAATGTATCTGAAGACACGCTGAAAAATGCATTTAAAAATGTGTTCATCATTGTGAATTACCAATTGGTTGGAACTACAAAAATAGTTTCATGAAATCGCTACTTCAGAATGTAGGTACTACTTTCAATAGCTTTTGCGACAGAAGTTTATTTTGAATTCGTTGATAAGTAAATATGATAGTCAATACATGTTACTAATATACTGTGTTTCATATCACTTACGCCAGACGCATTTGTTCCCTCTGTATCCCGGTTTGCAGCTGCACTTTCCGTTCTCCTTGTTACACTGTGTAGAACATCCGTCACTGCAGTTTGTATTACAGTAGTTACCATAGGTTCCGCCTTTACACTCTGACAAGACAAATGTTTAACAATGTAGAACATCCATCACTGCAGTTTGTATTACAGTAGTTACCATAGGTTCCGCCTTTACACTCTGACAAGACAAATGTTTAACAATGTAGAACATCCGTCACTGCAGTTTGTATTACAGTAGTTACCATAGGTTCCGTTTTTACACTCTGACAAAACAATGTTTAATAGGGTCATGTCAATAGTAAGCGATGTAAACACACCAGTCACATCACACCAGCTATTCTACTTGTATCGTGTTGAACACATCAGTATAATCTGATGAAACAAAACATGTATAGAACTTACTTTCTACACAGGTAGGTCCAGTGTAGCCGGGTTTGCAGATACACGACCCGTTGGCCGAGTTACAGGGGGCAGAACAGCCTTCGCTGCAGCTTGCATTACAGTAGTGACCATAGGTTCTGTCTTCACACTCTGTCAAGACAAATGTTTAATTGGGTCAGGTCAGAAGGAAGTCACGCATACACACTAATTACATCACACGAACTATTCTACTTGTATCTTACTGAAAACATCAGTAGTGTCTTATGACACAATACATGTATAGAACTTACTTTCTACACAGGTAGGTCCTCTGTAGCCGGGTTTGCAGATACACGACCCGTTGGCCGAGTTACAGGGGGCAGAACAGCCTTCGCTGCAGCTTTCATTACAGTAGTGGCCATAGGTTCTGTCTTTACACTCTGACAAAACAATGTCTAACAATGTAGAAAATCCTTCACTGCACTGTTCTTTACGGTAATTTCCACACCGCCCAACTTGACACACTGTGATTTGGGGACATTCGTGTAACATTCATTGTCGCTGAACAATACAACATGGAAGTGTTTTCAGGCAAAGCATCAACCGAAATACATGCCATGTCTTAAGCCACAGAATAATAGAGCAATTCATTCTACTATTGACTTATTTGCATATAAAACTGTAATTGACTGTTGAACCATACCTTACAAGCATGCACACTTACTATTAGCGTGAAACTTGAGGGTTACAGACACTAACATTACTAAAACAATACATTTCATGTCACTCACGCCGGACACATTTGTTCCCTCTGTATCCCGGTTTGCAGCTGCACTTTCCGTTCTCCTTGTTACACTGTGTAGAACATCCCTCACTGCAGTTTGCATTGCAGTAGTGACCATAGGTTCCGTCTTTACAATCTGACAAGACAAATGTTTAACAATGTAGAACATCCATCACTGCAGTTTGTATTACAGTAGTTACCATAGGTTCCGCCTTTACACTCTGACAAAACAATGTTTAATAGAGTTATGTCAATAGTAAGCGATGTAAACACACCCGTCACATCACACCAGCTATTCTTCTTGTATCTTACTGAAAACACCAGTAATATCTTATGAAACAATACATGTATAGAACTTACTTTCAAGACAGGTAGATCCAGTGAAGCCGGGTTTGCAGGTACACGACCCGTTGGCCGAGTTACAGGTGGCAGAACAGCCTTCGCTGCAGCTTGCATTACAGTAGTGACCATAGGTTCTGTCTTCACACTCTGTCAAGACAAATGTTTAATTGGGTCAGGTCAGAAGGAAGTCACGCAATCACACTAATTACATCACACGAACTGTTCTACTTGTATCTTACTGAAAACACCAGTAATGTCTTATGAAACAATACATGTATAGAACTTACTTTCAAGACAGGTAGATCCAGTAAAGCCGGATTTGCAGGTACACGACCCGTTGGCCGAGTTACAGGGGGCAGAACAGCCTTCGCTGCAGCTTTCATTACAGTAGTGACCATAGGTTCTGTCTTCACACTCTGACAAAAAAATGTTTCCTCATGGTCATGTCAATAATAAGTGATGTATACACACCCGTCACATAACACCAGCTATTCTATTTGTATAGTAATGAACACGTCAGTATAATCTGATGACACAAAAGTTGTACAGAACTTACTTTCTACACAGGTAGATCCAGTGTAGCCGGGTTTGCAGGTACACGACCCGTTGGCCGAGTTACAGGGGGCAGTACACCCTTCGCTGCAGCTTTCATGACAGTAGTGACCATAGGTTCCGTTTTTACACTCTGTCAAGACAAATGTTTAATAGAGTTATGTCAATAGTAAGCGATGTAAACACACCAGTCACATCACACCAGCTATTCTACTTGTATCGTGTTGAACACATCAGTATAATCTGATGAAACAAAACATGTATAGAACTTACTTTCTACACAGGTAGGTCCAGTGTAGCCGGGTTTGCAGATACACGATCCGTTGGCCGAGTTACAGGGGGCAGAACAGCCTTCGCTGCAGCTTTCATTACAGTAGTGACCATAGGTTCTGTCTTCACACTCTGTCAAGACAAATGTTTAATTGGGTCAGGTCAGAAGGAAGTCAGGCATACACACTAATTACATCACACGAACTATTCTACTTGTATCTTACTGAAAACATCAGTAGTGTCTTATGACACAATACATGTATAGAACTTACTTTCTACACAGGTAGGTCCTCTGTAGCCGGGTTTGCAGATACACGACCCGTTGGCCGAGTTACAGGAGGCAGAACAGCCTTCGCTGCAGCTTTCATTACAGTAGTGGCCATAGGTTCTGTCTTTACACTCTGACAAAACAATGTCTAACAATGTAGAAAATCCTTCACTGCACTGTTCTTTACGGTAATTTCCACACCGCCCAACTTGACACACTGTGATTTGGGGACATTCGTGTAACATTCATTGTCGCTGAACAATACAACATGGAAGTGTTTTCAGGCAAAGCATCAACCGAAATACATGCCATGTCTTAAGCCACAGAATAATAGAGCAATTCATTCTACTATTGACTTATTTGCATATAAAACTGTAATTGACTGTTGAACCATACCTTACAAGCATGCACACTTACTATTAGCGTGAAACTTGAGGGTTACAGACACTAACATTACTAAAACAATACATTTCATGTCACTCACGCCGGACACATTTGTTCCCTCTGTATCCCGGTTTGCAGCTGCACTTTCCGTTCTCCTTGTTACACTGTGTAGAACATCCCTCACTGCAGTTTGCATTGCAGTAGTGACCATAGGTTCCGTCTTTACACTCTGACAAGACAAATGTTTAACAATGTAGAACATCCATCACTGCAGTTTGTATTACAGTAGTTACCATAGGTTCCGCCTTTACACTCTGACAAAACAATGTTTAATAGAGTTATGTCAATAGTAAGCGATGTAAACACACCCGTCACATCACACCAGCTATTCTACTTGTATCTTACTGAAAACACCAGTAATATCTTATGAAACAATACATGTATAGAACTTACTTTCAAGACAGGTAGATCCAGTGAAGCCGGGTTTGCAGGTACACGACCCGTTGGCCGAGTTACAGGTGGCAGAACAGCCTTCGCTGCAGCTTTCATTACAGTAGTGACCATAGGTTCTGTCTTCACACTCTGTCAAGACAAATGTTTAATTGGGTCAGGTCAGAAGGAAGTCACGCAATCACACTAATTACATCACACGAACTGTTCTACTTGTATCTTACTGAAAACACCAGTAATGTCTTATGAAACAATACATGTATAGAACTTACTTTCAAGACAGGTAGATCCAGTAAAGCCGGATTTGCAGGTACACGACCCGTTGGCCGAGTTACAGGGGGCAGAACAGCCTTCGCTGCAGCTTTCATTACAGTAGTGACCATAGGTTCTGTCTTCACACTCTGACAAAAAAATGTTTCCTCATGGTCATGTCAATAATAAGTGATGTATACACACCCGTCACATAACACCAGCTATTCTATTTGTATAGTAATGAACACGTCAGTATAATCTGATGACACAAAAGTTGTACAGAACTTACTTTCTACACAGGTAGATCCAGTGTAGCCGGGTTTGCAGGTACACGACCCGTTGGCCGAGTTACAGGGGGCAGTACACCCTTCGCTGCAGCTTTCATGACAGTAGTGACCATAGGTTCCGTTTTTACACTCTGTCAAGACAAATGTTTAATAGAGTTATGTCAATAGTAAGCGATGTAAACACACCAGTCACATCACACCAGCTATTCTACTTGTATCGTGTTGAACACATCAGTATAATCTGATGAAACAAAACATGTATAGAACTTACTTTCTACACAGGTAGGTCCAGTGTAGCCGGGTTTGCAGATACACGACCCGTTGGCCGAGTTACAGGGGGCAGAACAGCCTTCGCTGCAGCTTGCATTACAGTAGTGACCATAGGTTCTGTCTTTACACTCTGTCAAGACAAAGTTTAATAGAGTTATGTCAATAGTAAGCGATGTAAACACACCAGTCACATCACACCAGCTATTCTACTTGTATCGTGTTGAACACATCAGTATAATCTGATGAAACAAAACATGTATAGAACTTACTTTCTACACAGGTAGGTCCAGTGTAGCCGGGTTTGCAGATACACGACCCGTTGGCCGAGTTACAGGGGGCAGAACAGCCTTCGCTGCAGCTTTCATTACAGTAGTGACCATAGGTTCTGTCTTCACACTCTGTCAAGACAAATGTTTAATTGGGTCAGGTCAGAAGGAAGTCACGCAATCACACTAATTACATCACACGAACTGTTCTACTTGTATCTTACTGAAAACACCAGTAGTGCCTTATGAAACAATACATGTATAGAACTTACTTTCAAGACAGGTAGATCCAGTGAAGCCGGATTTGCAGGTACACGACCCGTTGGCCGAGTTACAGGGGGCAGAACAGCCTTCGCTGCAGCTTTCATTACAGTAGTGACCATAGGTTCTGTCTTCACACTCTGACAAAAAAATGTTTCCTCATGGTCATGTCAATAATAAGTGATGTATACACACCCGTCACATAACACCAGCTATTATATTTGTATAGTAATGAACACGTCAGTATAATCTGATGACACAAAAGTTGTACAGAACTTACTTTCTACACAGGTAGATCCAGTGTAGCCGGGTTTGCAGGTACACGACCCGTTGGCCGAGTTACAGGGGGCAGAACAGCCTTCGCTGCAGCTTTCATTACAGTAGTGACCATAGGTTCCGTTTTTACACTCTGTCAAGACAAATGTGTGATAGGGTTATGTCAATAGTGCTTCCAATTTAGCCAGGTGGACAGGTACATGATCCGATGGACCTGTTACAAGTGTCAGAGCACCGTCACTGCAGAGTGACGCTCAGTAATACTCATAGGTTCCATATATATATATATGTGTGTGTGTGTGTGTGTGTGTGTGTGTGTGTGTGTGTGTGTGTGTGTGTGTGTGTGTGTGTGTGTGTGTGTGTGTGTGTGTGACGGTTGTTTTTGCATTAACGTACCATCGTGGCAGGTCGAGCCATTATACCCCGGCCTACACCTGCATATTCCGTCCGTCTTGTTGCAGTAGGGTCCGGTACACCCACGACTGCATCTACCCTTGCAGTAGTCACCGTAGGATGCGTCTGGACATTCTGTATGTTGGTTAAGCGGACATGAACGAAAAATTCATGTGATCTTGACACTAATCTGTACCTATTACCATCATATGTTTATAATGTTTATAACGAGTTGAATTTGTAGAAGCAACACTGATTCTTTTTAACGTACATCAATGAAGCGTCATCGTGTCTTTAATGTGACAAGCGCGAGTTCAGTTGGGAATAATATAATCATAACCGTGTCATACCCATATGAATTAATATGAAATATATAATCATATAAACTATACATAAAACGTATTATACTTCCAGAATATAACATGATCAAAAGGTATGCAGTCCTGCGGACTTAGGTATTTGACATTCAAAGGGGCAAGACGTCCATATGTGTACATGCCCCAAAGTGAATAGTTCGACCTGGAAATAAATTGTTCCTTTGGGACATAAACATATTTGTTTCACATATTTGCTGTTTTGGGGAGTGTTCGAGGGCTGGAAGTTTGATTTCTAACCGACGGTGTTACCCATCACTATTACATGTAGGTTGACTGATTACATGCTTATTTTATACACATCGGTCAAAGCGTTACCTCATGCTTTCAACAATCATTGTTATTTTTCGAAAGTAGATTTGGCTGTATCCATGGAATACATACATGCCGGATTGATTGAATCGTACTTCGTAATGGTTTGTTACTTATGGTTATGTGAAGTTTTAACACCCATTCGTATGACATGTAAGTCCATTCTACAATGGAACAGGAACAGGTTCCGACTCTGACGTCACAGGTAATTTTCATTCAGATAATAACTATTTAGGTATGACATGATGTATGTTTACGTACATATGTACTGCCAAACAATAATACACACCAGTGTCACATCTTGATCCATTCCATCCGGGCAAGCAGGAGCAAGTTCCTTCTCTGATGTCACAGGTGCTGTTGACACATCCATCTCCGCACGTGTCAGTGCAGCTGGCGCCAAAGGTACCGGGGTTACATGCTGATGGAGTTGTAGCTGTTGTAGGTGTAAGATCGGACAATGGACATAACGGGTGAAAAATGGTTGACAGGTCCAGGTTGTTTTACAATAACGGGACATGTGATTTCAAAACGCGCTGCAGTAATAATCAGTCTCCAAAAATTGCCGAAACAGATTGCATTTGGTGTAATTATTGTTTGTTTGTTTGTTTGTTTGTTTGTTGTTTAACGCCACTCAGCAATATTCCAGCTATATGACGGCGGTCTGTAAATAATCGAGTCTGGACCTGACAATCCAGTGATTGACATCATGAGCATCGATCTCCGCAGTTTGGATACGATGACATGCATCAAACAAGTCATCGAGGCTGACCACCCGATCCTGTTAGTCGCCTCTAACGACAAGCAAAGTCGCATTTTACGGCAAGCATGGGTTGCTGAAGACCTATTCTAACCGGGCCTTTACGGGTGGCACTGGGTGTTAAAGACCAACTAGTGATGCGCATTATATGAATGGATCACTGAAAACAAGTGATGACACTCGGTACCGAGTTCGCCACTCATATTTTGTTATTTAAAATATAAGTAGATTAGAAAACTCCACGTAAGGGTCATATGGGATGGCACCACACAACATGTTGACCATATAATTTCTGGAATAACTTAAATAGGCCTTTTATGATGCAACCTTGATTGAAAGGTTAAGCGATAGACGCAATAAGCTGGAGCGGATGGTATGTTACAGGATATGAAGGTGGAAATTCACGATCGGAAAATCGAATCCATCCGTTTTGAAACCAATATCTTGTATACGTTACCCCTGAGGTACATGAGGAATATCACTGATCTTTTTTATGATATGTTTTGTTAATCGGTGATTACCTGGCTTGTTGGTGATGTTTTCTTCTTTTTGATTCCACTCTGTGCATTCCAGACCTTTTGCAGCTGAAACAGCGTTATCATACTTCAATGATATTGTGATTTATACATGTACATCAATTTGTAATGGGTCTGACTTCTACTCAGAGATGATGATATACTTATGATATACCTATGAAATATTCCCATATACATTGTGTTGATGACTATCTTGAAGTTGCATGTCATAGGAAATAATAATTTCCAGTCCTGCGTTCTCTAGCCTTTGGTGAATGTAGAAACGTTGTACAAGAACCCCAGAAATACAGATAAAGGTTCAGTTAGAGAAACGTACAATTTTATAGTCTTTGAAAGATATTTAGAAGTGATGCACATAATTTTTTTTTTACATCCATAAAGTTGACATCCATAAATTCTCTTCCTTACAACTTTATAGATAACAACTTCTGGCGACGTTTCGATGTAGATTCTTACACCGTTTACTCCAACTTGATAACGATGTATGAATCTACATGGAAACGTCGCTATAAGCAAAAAAACAGAAGTTGTTATCCATAAAGTTGTACGTTTTTACTTTTTTTTTTGCCAACTTCTAGAATGCCAATCAAAAGTTAGATAAAGGTTCAGCTATCAATGTTCATAAAACACTCCTCTTAAAGCCGGAGGGGCGGTCGGGTAGCCTAGTGGTTAAAGCGTTCGCTCATCACGCCGAAGACCCGGGTTCGATTCCCGACATGGGTACAATGAGTGAAGCCCATTTCTGGTGTCCCCGGCCGTGATATCGCTGGAATATTGCTAAAAGCGGCGTAAAACATACTCACTCACTCACTCACTTAAAGCCGGAAAGTCCTTTTCGATTCATATGAGGCTGTATATAATGCCATGAGTGATGTAGTTTGGCTAAAATCGCCACCAACTCTGTCTTACCGTTACCCGACGTGTTATACAGCTGGACATCACACAGTCGGTTCACACCCAACAGTTGGAGGCTCGTCGATGTTAGCAGTGGACAAGTAAAGTTGACGGCAGTGAGAGTGACGTTAGTTTTTTTCTTCTTTATTTTGCTCGTTTCACAAGAACAGTTCTTGTGTAGGTTCGTCCCACCCACCGTCACAGTTATATCTGAAACAGGAACCACTTACAAATTTTCTTTCAAACGGTCAGATGTTTTAATGACAGCTAATTGATAAGAAACGTATTTTGGGTGAGTTTATGCACTGTAATATAAAAACGTATTTGTCGTAATGAGCAAGTTCAAGATTACATACAACATAGTATAATATGATAATATATAGGGCAAGCGTCACATATTAACTCCTTAGTATGTCGTTATAGGCATATCGGCTATCAAACATGACAAAGAAAATTCAAATTTACCCGTTTTGATGACACAAGATATGTTAATAAATAACAATAATCCCCATTATAAATTACAATTGGTAATTTAAAGTTATTTGTTTTGAGACTTTGTCCCAGGTATCTTAATGCAAGTCACTGCATACATCTACTTACCTCGTGGCTCGACAACAATCCTGATAACGTTAAATGAACGGTCCGCAAACGTAATATTCAAGTTGCCGTTGATCTTCACACAGGTTTTAGGCTTCTCATCAAATATTTTTTTAACATTCTTTTTTATAGGTTTGCCTGTTTCATCGAGCACTTTCGAGTTTTCGGCCAGGCTAAGGTTCGCTGTAATATAGAGAAATAGGGAAAAAATCTCACTGTAAACTTAATTCCTATGTCGAATTTTGAAATGAATGTTAATATAAAAGCGACAAAATCCTTTCCACATTCAACAGAAATCTGTTCAAAGCAGCGTCGATTGTACGATTCCACTGATGGCACCCGTCACAAACACTTGCAAGGACAAGTCAACTGTTCACCTGAAAGAGCACGGTAACATATGGTACAAGTCAAAATTGATAATTGCATCGGACATCATTTTGATCACTGATGTGTCAAATTTGGAAATGTCCCCCATATGTCTACCATAAAACGGTTTGAAACGCTTGTCATACAGTCTTGTGGCGGTTTCACTGATCTCTAATATGTTCTAGCTCAGGTGGGTAAATCAGTGGAAGGGAATTGGCTATTTGACCATAAGTGAACAGTTTATTATTATCTGATCAACGATACACATGAAGCTGAAGTTAAATTCATTTGTTTTGATCTAGCCAATCTAAAAATAATTTATGACTCGTATGCATGAAGAAAATGATCAGGTGGATGGGGAGCACAATTGGTGCCCATGGGAATGCTTACATCCTGCGTAAATGTCCTATCCCCAAAATTCGCATAGATGCATGGTAGCTCTGAGGAAGCCAAGCATTTCACAATATCAGTAAACTTTCAATACTGACACTGTCTTGAACCTTTGAAGACAGAGATGTGACTATCCAAGGTCACCACTATAAGAGTATAAAGTTTGAAAAATCATATGATTGGATACAAGTGAAATTGGTGCTTTTCTGAGATTGCAAAACAATTGGCACATTTCTCCCTCAGTTAACATACTGGCCCTTATACATACAAACTGTTCAGGGTGCACAATTCACCCGTCGGACTTAGGACTTTTCAAACACCCCTCCTCCCTCCCCCATCCCTCAACTATTAATTGGTGAAGTTTAAAAGCCCCAAGGCAAACCCTCAGGCCTTGGTGATGAACAGAATCTAATGATTTTATATTGCTTTTACAAACTCCACCATAAGCGATGAAGCTGTAATCATGTTTTGAACGGATCAGTGCTCTGTACAGTTGGAGGTTTTGTTCTGATCTCTTCCCCTCTTTGAATTGGAGACAGCTTTCCAGCCCTACTGCCTTGTGGGACACCATGATCCTGATTATATAATTAGACAGGGTAGAACCGACGCGGACTTCAAATCGGCCTGGCAATCCAAAATAATTTAAATCTTTTAAAATACCGTGTTTCTAGATCGAAACAGAGCGAAATACTATAGGTGGTGGATACCAGATTTAGATCCCTCACTTTTAATGTTCTGAATCATGGTCCATACCTTAGAGATAGGCGTATGTGAATGTATCTTGGAGACATAATTGTGCTTTTATTTTTTTTAAATGTACGTCGTGTTTTAGCGTTTACAATTTTTAATTTATCGAATTGTGGACCGTAGGATGGCAACGGAAAAATGCCCAGCCTTCTTCCGTGGTGCCTTCCAGTTTGTTTGCAAGAATATTTAAACTATGGTTCACGGATGTGTGGACTTGCAGAGGACTGTTTGAAATACATTCATCCGCTATTTTGTTCAGTTCATCAGATAAACATTTTATGGGGTCTGAAACATTAATAAAAAAAAATAAGGCTTAAGTTGGTTTGCACAAAGAGTTTCATACAAAGGCCAGTTAGCTTTATTTAAGTTCCATCGTGATGATGGAGTAACACCAGATGGGGTAACAGACTTTAACATGGTAGGGAAATGGTCACTTCCACAGAGGTCGTCGTGACCTAACCACTCAAATTCATTTAGAAAAGCTGAATTTGCAATTCATAAATCATTGTACGTATATGCATGAAGAACCTCCAGTGGCCTGGTAAGAAGTATAGCCTCTGAATGGTATTTTTCAAGGATGTGTGCTGAAGACTGAAATATTATTGTAATAATTAGATATCGTTATATTTATTCCGTAGTCCTCTGCAATTCCATTGAAGTATTTCACTTGAGCTGCTCATGGCGGCTCAACTGGGGATCTGGGACGGGAGGAACGTCCACTCCCATGGACTAGCTGTGTTAGAGTGACATCCATCTCCAGAGGCTTATATGGATTTATGAACCCCAACAGAGGTCGGAAAAGGCACTTCCGTGTGCTGGAGTGCCTTGGTCCTTCGAATTTTCTATTTTAGTTCAGTGGCTTCTTTGCACTTTAGTAGTTTAAAAAAGTATTCGAATTTGTACTTCACTAAAAAAGAGTTATCCCAAATATAACAATGTTACATTTGACCACTTTCTGAAAGCCGTTGTGTATTCATATATACACCAATATATTATGAAAGATATAAAAGTATTTCATAATTTATGTGTTAATAGGGAGACACTCCAGGTGCAGATGTGCATGTATATGGTAAATATTATGTTCAGATTTTGTTTTGTCTATAGTTAAAGTTTAGATTTTGTTTTGTGATTTGTCTGGATGATTACAAACTAGCAAAGTCATTTCGAGGCTTCTTTTGCTATTTGACGAAACGAACGTCTTCTGTTTATGCTTAGTCTAGTGTGCCAACCTTTTTACGCATGCAATTTGTTGAACGTGAGTTGTATGTCATACACTTGCCGGACATGCTGGACAAGTTGTATGTTTGCAGCCTATGGAAATTAGTATCAGAATCACGTGATAATTACACGTCGATTTGTAAGCAAAGATGGCGACACAGTCTCGCTTCGGTAATTATTAAATCATGTGTTTCTTTCATGTGTGTATAAGTTTGAATCTCCATTTTAATGTCATTGTGATTATCCTTCGTACATGCATATAAAGTAGCAGATAGCCAAAATGTGTTATATTTTATACCAAATGTGTTGGACCATTCAATTAGTAAGGTATCATCATTGTGACTTCTCATGCATTCAACCATAACCTATCTTGACAGATAAGCTACAGATAAGCTACGTATTTGCGTAAAATCCCCCCCCCCCCCAAAAAAAAAAAAAAATAAAAAAAAATAATAAATAAATATATATATATATATTAAATAAAATAAAATTAAAATAATTAAATAAATAAAATATATAATAAGAATAAATACAAATAAAAAAAAGAAAAGGAAAAAGATATGTTTAAAACACAATTTACCTGCGTACAGAAACGCATGCATTAAATGAAAAACTAAAATGTATAAAAACACCAAGCGTAAATACCAAATGCCCAATTAAGCTTTTTCAGCATAATAATATGCTAATATAATAATAATATTCGTTACCCAATTAAACATGTAATAACCCAGTTAAAAATAGAAACCTTTGAGTAAAAACTCATTTGCTCAAAAAGTTATCTGGAGCTCTGCTTGGTTAAACCGTATGACAAATGGCACGTATGACAAATGAAGATCCCACCGACACATGTCAACATCCAATAAATTAAAGGACCCTTGCAATATAGGTTCGTTGAGCAACGCTGTAGCAAATGATCATTATTGACATTGTCATCGGTTTACGTCTCTCCGTTACTCTGTTCACAGTGTGATATGAGCAGACTTTGTGACTGTAATGAGATTCTATGATTACATTTCCAAAACACGAAATACATCACGTACACAAATAATCTTTACAGCTTTGGATTCTGCAGGGAATATGTGTGTTATGTTATATGTTAAGTACATTAAACAACTTCTGAAAATTATATAAAACCTTAATATAGCCATTTTCGACATTCTTCTAATTCCCCGTTCTCAGCGTTATTATTTTCTACAAAAGGGATAGTTATAAAAATATTGCAGGTTTGCCATTTATCAGTCATTCTGATATGTCTCCAATAAACTCATTTTCGCTTCAGAAAAAAATCCATTTCATTGAATTTTTGTCATTTTGACAGTAAATATATTCATTGAAGAAATTTTGTCACATTTTTACTTTATATATAAATTACACATTTGTAAGGAATATTAAACGTTTGTTTTAAACTTGTTTATGATCGTTTGACTGATGGACATTGATACCACAAGAGTCACCAGATGCATCTTTAATCAAAAGATTTTCTCCTTTTTAAATAATCTGATCACTTATTTGACGAAATTCCTCCATTCACAAGATATTTTAAACTTACTGTATTTCTATATGTGTGAAAAAAATAGTAAAATACCAGTGCAAATCTACCAAAAATCTAAAACTCCTACAATAATTTCTTCTAAGAAGGGTGTTTTTGTTTGTAAAGTAAATGCATGACACTGGTGTGAAACGATAATGAACCACGGTCTAATGAAATGCATACAAGTCTCATTAAAAAAAAAAAATGTTCTTCGTTAAGAATGGTTTTATTTTATTAATAGTAAAAGGTGAATGACTATGTAACAAAAATCACCCCGTAAAATGATTTTCTGTAATTTCGAAAAAGCGTGACATTATGTTCTTTTAATCGTTTTTTCTGTACTATTAATGGAAATGAGGTTAAATATATCTATTAACTTGATTTGTTTACAGTAACAATTTCATCGTTTCTTATCATATGTGATAGATCCAAAATATATATGGTTTCAATGTCGATATTTATGTGGGATAAGTTTGACAGCATTTGAACAAAAAAGTACGATAACTTGAGTTGTGCCCCGTTTTCTTTCTCCGCATCGAATGTTTAACGCTATACAAACCATGCAATTCTAATTGATAGGTCTTTATGTACTTTTATACTTATTATATTATCTAAGGTCGTATTTGTCTCTCTCAAAGTTTACATAAAGCCGCCATATAAAACCTTTCGTCGTATTCTGTGTGCTTCCTTGGTAACAAACTGGACTTAGACTCAAATAATGTGTAGCATTCGTTTCCGGAGCATAACTCGGAAAACGTTTAATCTTTTATTATGAAACTTTGCATATGTATCAAAAACTTGCTGAGCTGGGGCCTTTTAATTTTAGGTATTTAACAAAAATATCTTTTATGCTTCTTTCTTTTTTACTCAGTGCATAGTGTCTGCAATGGGGGCAACTTTTCTCAGAAACCACTACAGTTACATGAATGAAAATATGCAGAGTTAAAGACCTTCCTCCATGCTTTTCAACATGAAGTTCATATTATTCACCAAATTTAAATGTGCCCCGTGGCGGGGTATAGTCATAACGTCGTTTTCGTGTTTATTTACAACAAACTATTTTACACCATGAGGTTATTCAATCAACATTCAATACTCTATATCTCTGTTAAATTGCAAAATCAGAAATTGGCCAAGTGCCGCGCGACATGCAATTACCACACAACCACTCGACAGCCAGTTTTCCAGGGGGCTTTGAAACATCGAAAATCATCAGTCGTTGGTGTATAGCAGAAATAGTAGTGATTCAACACTGTGTTCTCTAGTGTCTTCATTTTAGCTATTCATTGCTATTAGGACACAGCTGACTCCAATATAATGTAATTTCACCTCATATCAACTCCACTCCTTTACTTGACATGACTTGAAATGGGGTTTAAGTCGCGTTCAAGATTTGTGGACTAATAATGCAATGTGCATGCACGTGTAAGTGTATTTGTGGCTGCTGGTACTAGTCCGGACTTATACCGGTTTTTATTGTGTTAGCCCACTGAGATACCATGCCGCAGTACATGGATATCCTAACCAGATACATTATACCGACTCCGAGCCGAACAGTGAATGAGTGAGTGGGTTAAAATTAAAAAGACACGTCGGCGGTGTCTCCAACAGATACTGATAAATACCATTCACAAAGGCCAGTAAAACTTTAGCAGTAGACTAAAATTAACACTATTAAATAATAAAACATTCAAATCAACATATTCAACGTTAATCCTCTTTATATGATTAAAACACGGGCTATAGACCATCAGCAACCAAAGCTAGACCACCTTACTTGTGACTATAGGGACCGCGCAGTCCTTGTTGTATCTCCTTAAAACTGAGCACCAGGTAGGGTTACAACAAGTACAATCCGTTAACGTCTATTGGTATCCCTATCCGGGCAGACGCTCTATCCACTACACCACGAGGCGTCCTTATGAATCGCAAGATGGAAAGGGATGTACTTACACCGCACTATTCAGTCGGATATTACACTCAAGCATTCAACTGGGAGTTGAAGAGTTCAGATCCATAAAGTGTCCGTTTTCCAACAACTCGATGACATACGTCAACCCTTGAGTAGAATATACTTGAACTGAACTAGATGGGTGTAGCACAAACAAATATGACGCTTTGGAACAGCCATACTCCTTCTGAAGGTGATCGCCAAGAAGAGCTTTTCTTGGTAACGTGGACAGAATTTCAACCTTTTAAGATCTGGTTCTACTAAACGTGGAAACACACACTTGTAGTTTTGTTTGTCTTCCTAATACAGACGATGTCAATTCCTTTGCCCTTAAGAAATACATAAAAGGAAAATGGGGTCATTGGTATGGTTTTACAATCATTTGTGTCTCTTATGTGTAGTTTTTTTTAGGAATGGGCCTTTGCATGAAACTGATATTCGAGTGTGAATTCTCCTGAGGCTGTGACGTTTTATGGCCACTCATATTCGAATGAACGATTTGAATACCTCAGGGAGCGCTTACATTAAGCTAGGCATGGTAGTATTAGCTATACATTTTTCGCGAACACCTGATGTCATCACTGATTTGCAGTGTTCCATTCATAAATTTTTCCTCACTATTTTGCCTTTTGACGTCCCGTGAAATCTATTCAGGCAGATATTGAAGAGTAAGTTAAAAGTAACTAGAGACACATGTACACAATAAGCGAGGCAGCGAGTTTGGTTTAAACGGAACGCATTGTCCTTGAGTTCAGTAAAACACCATCGTGTCAGATTTGGAGTAGGAAAGGAGTAAAGCCCGAAATGATGCAGGTCTAAGACGTTTACCACTTTGGGAAACCCACTAGCACGGGTATGATAAACCTTGATAAATAATCAAGGCGAACTAGGATTCGAACACACGATTTCCGATACGTTTAAGGGACCCAACTATACACTGCAAATTGCGGCGCGTTAGACGACTGGGCCACCCGTGTCCATGGTAAACAATGAGATACATAATATACTTTGCACATATGACAGAAACACAAATGAAAGTTGTGATCACAATCACAGAGTAAAACAGATACATCCTACAACATGAAAGGTCCCGGATGTACACATGCACACACGCACACACACACACACACACACACACACACACACACACACACACACACACACACACACACACACACACACACACACACACACACACACACACACACACACACACACAAGAAGTAGGGAAACGGAGACAAACAGACACACACACGCGTACACGCTGAAACATTAGAGGGCTAATGCTCCACACATGCTCTTGAACATGTATTTCCAAAGACCAGATTTCGTATGTAGAGCTCTGTGTGAATTTGAGAAAAATGTCCGAGTAACAAGGGTATGAACTACCTTCTCGACTGATGTACCTCATTAGGCTTTTGGGGAAGAGTTAGTTTTGGAAGACTTGAATCAAACTAGCAGGGGCTACCAATTAGCCTGAGCCTAGTTCCCTTTAACTGGTACTCACATTCAACATCAGGTAATCCTATAATTGTAATCCAAGAAAGAATGACACAAATGACCCATACATCCATTGCCTGATGTCCTCACTCCATGTGACAGTGGTTGTTGGGATGCGCCCCTCTTAATAACTTGTACAGTAACGGATATAGAGCCTAGATGTAATATCTTCCTTGTTCTAAAATGAGACTTTTTTTCTTCGCATATGCCGAGGCTCCAAACACACTATCCCGTAACATGCCGCTTTTAATAACTAACTTCACTGTTGAGGAAAGCAAACTGCGTCACAGATACAATTTGCTTCTCCATGTCATTTCAACATATTGTCAAGGAGAGAGATTTTCACTGAAATATTGAGTTACCATTAAAGTGAAAACAGCAGATCTTCAACTGTACAGCGATTTTATATGTTTGCTAATTTTCGTTTGTTTTACATGTCGATGTTTATATATACATTAGTTGTGGTATATATATATATATATATACTGTTTTCAATTGTGTTGGTAGAGATGAGAAAAATGTTGCAATAATATACTATACATTATACCAAAGATAATACATACATTACGTGGATTTATAAAATAGAGCTGCTTGTACAATATTTGCCACATTCTTCTTCAACGTTACATTTTTTTCAAGCTGAAATTCGTTGTTGATATATCATCTCGTGTATGTTACCATGGATATGCGCCATTCAAAACCAATATATTTGACGTATTGTTTAATTTGTTTAGTTCGTGTATATATAGTCTGTCTTACAGACCCTGATACAAATATATATCAAATACAGCCCATGCAAGTCTATAATGTTTGGCAAGTCTAGATCACTGCAGTATCAGGAATGAAGAGAGTCACTGGGCTCCTTTTTATTATATTTTTATTAAGATAACTAAACAACTGTTTTTTTATGTACGATATGTTCATTTCAGAGACTAGATTTTAGTCTAGTGTATATAATGTAAAGCTCCTTTAACTGAGCAATATATTCCATAGTATAACGTCTTTATTGAATCACGAATAAACACTGATTTGTATTAATTTTGTTTTCTCTTGTTCTCTTTTAAATACTTTAGTGATATATCCCTTTAGAGGGATGCTCAAATACTCTAGTGAATACTATTTCTTCCGTGTGGGAATGTACGTTATACTTGGCTCGTCAGCCTTTAGCTTCATAATGTTTCACACAAGTGGTATGTTTGCATTTGTTGTGTGTACATGTATATGGAAGCGTGCGCGTAGGATGAAAAACACATGCGATTCATCAGTCTACAACAACTTAAATCGGTCAAAGTTTGTATTTTCTGTACAACATCATATTCTTGAACACCGCCTGTGCACATCCAAGCTGTTATGCACAATCGTTCTTGGTAGAAAGCCAATTCAATTTGTTTCGACTATTACTTTCTATTATTCTTTATTTATGAATTATTATTTAGGTCAACTTAATTGATCATGTCAGTTACTGATTTCACACTCCATGTTTAGGTGTAAACCAGCCAGTGCACTCTTGTGTATCATAAAATGTTTCGCCCACACGATCTAACATTATAACATTTCGGGGCCTTAACAATCAGCTAAATCACAACATATGATGCCTAAAATATTTTATTTCCGTTCTATTGCCTCTACTGTCTTAACAGAGATTTTATAGACTTTTAAATGTTATATCTAGGACAAATTTCCACAAACAGGACGATAATGCAGAATGTAACAGCCACAGATGTTCCAGGTTACTTACTGTAATCAGAAAAGAAGACTGTTAATAAAAAAGATATACGATATACATCAGTCTTACAATTATTTTTTGCCACAAGAAAAAGTTAGACACTGAGTATTGGACGGTAGCATTAGGAGGCTGAGGGGGAGCCGTTGTCGACGAAAGTATCAAGACGTTCATAACTAGGTTATTTGAACGGCACTTGCCTTGTAGAATGTTACTATACTTCGACGATTTCTGTGGCCAGTGACGGACATAATTCAGTATCCTTACTGAAGCGTCATATATCACCAAATATAAATATGATCACCTTATAGACGCCTTTGATATTTTAGGGCAACTTTAAACAATAGGTCAACCGAAACATGGTTTAGGCATTGTTAAACAAATTTCTAAGGAAAAATAACTGATGTAAAAAACAAACTGTTTATCAACCAGTAACTATTTTAAGTTGTCTGGGAAAATAGTTTACGTGCATACATTAACACAATTTCTCGATATATCATCCAGCTTATATCATCATTTCAAGCAGAATACACTCGCATGTAGTTAATTGAACCTGACTACACAAGAGATCCTGTATATAAATTGGATATATGTTTTTGGAAACTGTTGGCAGCCATTGACGATTTGCAATGTCTTAAACGGCATTGTTTTCACACTTGTTCAAACGTTTATGGAGGAAAGCAGTAAAGCAAAATGTATGTGCATGTTATGGCATTCTTAACACGCCACTTCAACGTCCACTGCAGCACCTTCTTCGCGAAGTTATTGTCCCTTTTTTGCAACAGATCCATCGATAGCAACGCTTGTGTTGGTGCCATACCTTACAGCCTTGGAATTTGAGAAACTGGAGACGAGTGTGGTTAAGCGATGAATCACGATTTCTTCTTCACCGGCGAGATAGAAGACAACGTGTTTATCGTCGTCGAAATGAGCGTTTTGCCCCAAATTGTGTACGTGAATTCGACAATTTCGGTGGTGGTAGTGTCATGGTTTGGGGAGCCATATCCTACACCACGAGATCTGACTTGGTTGTGGTTCAGGGAAATTTGACAGCAAATCGCTACATGAATCAAATTCTTCAACCTCACCTTCTTTCAATCATTGACCGCCAGAGGGAGCTGTTGACAATGAACAATTGTCAATGCCTTTCGACAACATGTGACTATGGAGCTCCAAAATTTCACATTTGTATCTATGATATTAAATTAAATATATCGAATTTATTAGGTCCAATAAATTTACTAAAAATCTACGTGTGCGTTTCTTTTTTTTTGGGAAGAGTGTAATTGTTTATATCTTTATATATGTTTATATCTTTTTATACTAATAGAAAACTTGAATTACACTGTTGACATTTTTGTTCAAAAATGTTAATAACGTCTAGAGGGTCGGGCTCTGGTATAAAATGCTAGAACATGGTATATGTTGAATGGTTTCTCAAAGTCGTGAAAAACATATACAGTATTATCAAATCAATGACAAGTCAGTGGGGTGTTCGCCAAGGAGACAACCTGTCACCTCTGCTTTTCTAAATATTTTTGATTGATTTGGAATCCCAACTGAAGGAATGCAGTGGTGTTGACATACAAAGTAGTGATAATTTTAATGTGATCCTGTGTGTCCAATTTCTGTTTCTCCTATGTTCAAGTGATATACATGTAGACCCAATATCATTTAAAAATTCAATAAATAAGTCGTATTGTGGCAAATGGAAACTTGACGTTAACAGTATCTAAAACTGAAATTGTTATATTTGGAAGAAGTGCAGTAAAGAAAACAAAATTGTTAGTTTCATCTGGTGATGTCAAAAAGCTGGAAATAGTTGCTGTAATAATTTCCTTGGAACAAAATTTCTTTAAAATAGAAAAACTAGTTTAAAAAAAGTTTAACTGAGATCGCATACAACGCAATGTTTAGCTTGCTTAAAAAAGCGAGAAATATTAACCTACCATTAGATTTTTTTTAAGGCATTTCTCGTTACAGTTACTCCCATTTTGTTGTAGGGATACGAAGTCATTGGCTACGAAACGCTAGATGTCATTGAAAGAATCCACTTGAAATTTCGAAAACATGCTCCTGGCCTTAGGTCATCAACGCCAAGCTGTTAAGTATATGGTGAAGTTGGAAGGGTCCCACTTATATACACATTTATAAAAGAAATATCAGCTTCTGGGCATAAACAAAATAATTCCTGTGTATCCCTTAAATTGTCACAAGTTGTATATGAAGTCCTGAAAGTCCATAGCCGTTAATTGTCGGTACAAACTCACAAAAGTGTCAGTTTCTTTGATTCCTTCTTAGTATATCAAGCAACAATCCCTTCCCAATCCATCCGTTATAAACTTATGTAACTTTGAGCCTAGTATAATAAACAGTTAACGACAATGTGTCATATCTAAAAACAATACACACGCGGTTTGTCCCTGCATCACAAAGTGCCTTCATCTTTACCAAAATAAAAGCGACAGAGTCCTATCCATAGTTATTTTTAATCAGAGTTGATCTTACGATTCCGACTCTATAATGAGCAGGTGTTTATGTATCACTATCAAATAGTATTGATACCAGGTGTATGCGAAAAGGTGCCCCACCAGAGGCACCTGTCACAAACACATTCATTTGTACCTAAAACGTTGTGAAATGTCCACTCCAAAGGCTGGAGCTGCTGGAATATTGCTCAACATAAGGGGAAAGTTGACTATTGCAAAGTTGATTTCATCAATGTCCTGTTCGGTGGTTGTGTATTGGTGTACCAGTAGTTATTGACGTACCCGTTTACACAAAAACATCAAATGCAATTTACTTCCAAGTTTCCCTACACATAAAACAATTTCAACATATTTTTATTTTTTACTTCAGAAAGTCCAAGTTGATAATGCACCGATCACCTTATAATCTGATCACCTCAAATGTTCAATCTATTCTTCGTGGTATTTACTGATAGGCACTGCTGATATATTAAAACACTAGCTTAGTCTGATTTACATGAAGTACAAAGCGAGTTTGTTTATGAAAAAGATAGCCCAAGTCTTAATGATATTTTCTCTTGCCACAGCATATTCATGCACAAAGGCCATGTCCAGCCTATATCGACATCGGTGGAATAAAATACCAGCATTGTTACAGACACGTGCACATGTTGTTTTGGGCGGTTCCTGGTCTAAGACCACTGACGGTCGATAATTCAAAGATACTGATATTTGCCACAACCGAAATGTTGGAGATGTTTAGTCGCAGTAATACTCTCTACACGGAACGAACATTGATTGTTCCAGTTCGTGGCCGCAGGTGTACACTGGCGCGATTAAGTTATCAAATATTTGCTGTTTCGGGTGTGTTGGGGCTTTAGGTTTTATCTCTTACAGCCATATTTCAAAGTTGATGTTTCTTCTGACAACCGATCAGGGGGCACGGGTGGCCCAGTCGTCTAAGGCGCCGCG